TCATCATGAAGCAGGTCCTTTGCAGAACGTCGCTCTCATCACAGTCTGCCTGAAAGAAACTTGGTCTCTCCCCAGTTCTCCTGCCTCATATACTTTCATACTCAAGGAGTCACTTATATCCTGTGCCCATCTTAGTGTTGGTCGGCCTCTGCCCCTCCTTCCTGGTACCATGCCTTCTGCTATAGTTTTTTCCAATCCGTTGTGGCGCTTGATATGACCAAAATATTTCAGCTTCCGAGAAAGGATGCTGTTTATTAGCCAGTCTTCCTTGATGTTCAGATCTTTTAAGATGTCAATATTTCTCCTCTTCTTTGTCCAAGATATTCTGAGAATCTTTCTATAGCATTTCAGCTCAAAAGCCCCTATTCTCTTTCTTAAGGACTGAGAGATAGTCCACGACTCACATCCATATGTAGTCACAGGGAAGATGCATGCTCTCAAAATTCAAATTTTTATCTCCTTGCTGGTGCTTAACCATAGACTTTAAAGCTGTTCAATCTTTGCATTGCCAAGGCCATCCTCCTTTTAATTTCTGTTGAACAGTCTCCATTGCTGTTTATTATAGAGCCTAGATATTCAAAGTTTGTGACATTTTCAATTTCTTCATTATTTATTGTTATTTTTATTTTTTTTTATTTATGCAGTCCATAATAGTTAACAATAATCTACTCAGTTAACATGAAGAAAAGTTTCTCCCAGCAGGGATGTATAAATTTTAGCACAAATTGTTTAACATAAACTCTAGATTTTCTAGTCCCTTGGAGTTTGTGTTCCCTAGATATTTCCAACAATACAGGAACGAACCAACAGTGGCCAGGTTTTATTGTTTCCCAGCTGTTCTTATTCTTTGAGTTGACCAGATGTAAACTCCAGCAGAAATTTCTGGTTGTTCGTCCCCTTCTGGACTTTAGTATTGTTCCACAACTTGAGTGTTGTGCCCATCCATTTTACACATCTTGTCTATTTGTATGCAGACTGTTGGTTTCTGTCTCTCAGGCAGATGCACTCCGGCTTTGAAGGAATCTCCCCTAATTATTTGACTTATATGACATGCTTGTTAGGAAGGCATTGGGTCTAATCTTGTGTTCCCCCACAGTGGTGACCTCGAACCCACATAGGGATCCCAGCTGTTCAGTTCAGAGGTCCACCTAGCCTCAACACATGGGTCTCAAAGATTGTGCTGAGAATAAAGTGCAGTGTGACCTGGAGCTGCTTAACTCAACTTATGACCCATGTCAGAATTGACAGTGAAGTGAGAAGAAGGGAGTGGACAGTGCAGAGGCACAAATAGGTCATCACAGTCTGAGTAGAATGGTGCTACAAGGAGTGACTAGTGGATCTAGCAGACTCTCAACACTCATTGGAAAATTGAGGTGGATATACAATCAGACTGTTATCGGAACTGGAATTCTGCACTTGCTGCTGAAGATCAGGATGCAGCACTTATGGAATGTCTCGAGTGCAGTGATGTTGTTAGTTAATTGAGCATTAAGTTTTTAAAAAATGGGACTAAAGTAAAACAAGGCATTTTCTCCCTCAAAATGAACAATCACGAGTGACAGATTTGTTGAGGCTAGAGAGCCATTATCAACATACACAGACGATACAATTAGAATGTGTCAGAACAAACACGTGGATGAGAATAGGTGCAGTGATCAGCAAAGAAAGAGTACATATGTATGTCTCCTTCACTTATGACCAAGTTCCATTTCGACTCACAGGTCATCAGTGAACTGGTCCTAAGTTGAAAGAACATTTATCGGCACTATTTTTATTCAGACAGATTAAAACAATTGTACATAAAACACACAAAAATCAATTTATCTGTGTATAATTATTGTAGACAGGCATGTATATACACTTCAGGCTTCAGTTTAAGATATTTTTGACCCTACCAGTGCAGCTGCCTTTCTTTTCTTACTATTTAGTTTTTTTTTTTTTTTTTTGACATAAGTGCAGAGAGTTGTAAGTTGGGGAGAAGGTGTAGTTTATCATATTTTTGATTGAGAAATCGGATTTGTTTTCCCTTGTGATTTTTATTTGTTTTTGTTTTTTTGTGTGTACAACATTTTGGCTTGAAATGATTTAGAATCAGTTGTTGCCACTAGTGTTGTCATGACAAGACATATGCCTCTGTAAACATCGCCCTTAAAAAAAACAAGCAATAGAAATAAAGACAATAATATAAAACCAGTGTTGACTTGTCTTTTTTTTAAAAACAAAACAGTACCGAAAGAGAAGAGTTGCTTTATTATTATAAATTGTTGCAGAGTTATTCATTCATTTATTATCTTTTTGTGCCATGTATGTCACATAAGGCTCACTGTCTGTTTCTACATTCTGTGCAATCACTTGGTTATAATGGGTATCTTCTTCTTCATCAGCTGTAAACTCCAGTCGTCATTTTCTGAAATTTAGTCTTGAACTTAGATTTTGCATGCACATTTGTTTCACAGAGCTGACCTACTTGTACGCAGGCTGTTTGTATCTTGCCTGGCTGGAAAATGCAGTCTTAACGTCAAAAGAAACCACTAATTAGTCAACTCCTACGACATTCATGTTAGAGAGGCAGTGGTTCCGTCTCCTCACACCACCCCCCAGCCGCCTTTCCATGGGCCCAGGAACCCACATGGGGAGGATAGAATCCAGTCCAGAAACTTTGACCTCTCTCGTCAATGTTCACCCTAGAGTTTCTCTTGGACATCTTTGTCTCCTCAATCCCTCTATGTAGTAGTAGTAATTTTTCAAAAATATACTGTTCAACCCTAAGGATTATAACTGAGAAATAAAGTGTTCATAATCCCTCTATTTCCCATTACACTGCCCATTTTGTGAGATTATGTCTTTTCTGAGTGTCCAGTGTAGCACCATCTTCTCTTGCACAAGTCCTTTTTTATTCTGTTCATGGGTCTCTATGAAGTAAGTGGGCAAGCCGTTTTTTGTTGTTGAATGTAGTTGGTGATATCAGACTGTTCTTCGGTTCGTGTATGCATGTGTTTTAGATGTCGCTAAAGGTTGCTAAGAAGAGCCAGCCAGAGGTTTTGAAAGAGACAAATGCTCGAAGACAACTTATCACAAACACCAGAAAGAGACAGTCATCATTATTTGAACATGTTATGAGAAGAAAGAAACTAGAGCATGGAAAGGGAAACAGAGGAAGACAGCGCGATAAGATTCTTGACAGCCTTTTGTCATAGCATGGAGGGGTGTCAACACACGAACTGATATACGCAATTGGGGATCGCAGATTATGAAGAAGCATGAATGCACATACCATTTGGCAAGGTACTTGATGATAAAAGTGTTAATAATTAAAACAGTTACCTATAAACTACATGAACATCAATCTTAATAGTGCTCTTGACAGAGCTCATCAACGAATGTTGCATCTCCCCCTGACACTTCACTAAGGTACAAGGTGGAAGAGACGAAGAAGAAGACTTGTAAACTACAAACCTGTTTTAACTGGTGTTTGCGCAGAACAGAGAAAAGAAATAACAAATTTTGAGCGTTAGGGAAGAACCAAAATAAAAATTCATGTAAATCAAGAGGCGAGGAAAAGACGCTGTTGTTGGATAGGACACGTTGAGAAAACCTCAGAGCATTATAACCAGAAGGGCACAGAAATAATGAATGAATCAAGAATCAGGTCATTCCCACATCTCTCTCTCCTTCCTTCTCCAGTAGCTAATAAAGAGTCGATATGCTAATTGTACCAATTACATCCTGATTAAAAAGTCAGGCTTTGTTCCCCATTCAGTGTTGAATATCTTCCATACCCTCTGCTCACCTTAATTGGGGGGGGGGGGGGGGGGGGTGGGACAGAAAAGACCCACTGCTACCCTAACAAGCTAAATGTTGACTAAATTGGGGTGTTTCTTTCAAAGTTGAAATGCATTTTATTTTGAAAGACGAAGAACCAGCGGGCTATATACAAATAAGCCAGATCCGTTAAACGGATGTACACACAAAACTTAAACTTTGGAATAACAAAAAAGTCCAGAAGTTTACGAAAAACTTGAACTTTCCCCTGGAGTTTACAACATATAATTGATCAGGTTAGTTAGTTGTTGCCGTTGCAGAACCAACCCCATCAGCCTCTGGCTGTTGTGTGGTTTCACTAGGCAAATTTATGTCCAGTAGTTTACCATTGCCCTCTGGACGGCCGGCTCCCTGATACCATCGTCGAAACCAACGCAAGGTGTATGGCCCGCAGCTGGGATCGAACACAGCATTACGAAGCGTTCGCATCGACTTAACCACAGAGCCGACGACGATCGATCAGGAGAACAGAGAAATAGAAGAAGAAGCGTGCGTTTCGTTTACCCCTCTGCAATGCTGTCTGAAGGTTTGACTAGCCTGAAAGTCCAAATCCGGATGGCAGACCACCAGGTCAAATCCGAGATACCACGTTAAGCCTCCAGTTTTTTTTTGGGGGGGGGGGGGGTGGGAAGTGCTTACTCTTAACGTTCATACACGACTAGCCTAACCCGTAAACATGTGCAGGTAACGAACATATTCAAATGGGCTGACCACAACTTCCGCTTTGGTCATATTTATTTTGACATTTCTCAAATAAAAATCTGGCTTGAGGCTAGGAAAAGTTATTGTTTACATTAGATACGAGAACTTCCGGTTTCGATATTCCCATAAATGTGTGACGAGATGTCGATGTTTTTTGTCACGAAAGTTCATGTTGCTGGTGGAGCTTCGTGATGTATAAATAAAAAAAAAAGTTAAAGGCTCAAGTCAAGGGATTGGTGTGTCTGGTCTTAAAGTTCAAGCCCGACTGAATTTGCATTTGTGGGTGATGTGTCCACCAGTCACGCCGGCCGTCTTACGTTCCAACAACCTGGTGCAGCTTCAGCAATTGTTCGTTTAAAGTTTAAAATGTAAAAGAAGCCAAAACCTTTCAGATAACCAATATATATATAATATGGGAGGAAAACAGGCAACTGGATCAGGAATTGGCTTACAAACACAGCTACTTCAACAAGACAATGTCCAGACGCTTAGCCACCAATGCTTCAAATGCACCATGGCATAAGGTAGGGCACCTTCACTCCCTTTTTGTTACAACAAATTAATTTTTAAAAAGAAATTCAAGTTCTAAATTTTAAAAGAAGAGAAATTATGCTTGACTGCCTGAAGAATTGGAATGGAGAAATATCATCAGTGGAAGTGATTCAAAATACTAAGGATTAAGATCTGTGGAGAACATGAGTGCCCATGCTGCCTGGAAGGACAGATGTAAGCCCAAGTTTTTAAAAGATCTGCAAACACTCGATAGGTGGTGTAGTCAGTATCACACTGGCTTTCTTAATCTCGGTACCCAGGTCAGTGTGAGATCTGAACACTTGACGTTTAGGCCAACAGTGTTAAATGCAACAGGATGGGCACCATAGTGGCATTCTAGTGGGAACAGGGTCACACCACAGCCTTTACCAATGGCCTTCTCATTTGAAAACCACTGACATGGAAAATGATCAGAAGAAGGCCAACAGGCACACAAACCAGGTAGAATGGAGTAAAGAGTATTACTGACAAATCAGTTGAATGTCAGTCAGTAAACACAATTACTAAGTTACAACTGCAGTTGCATAAACATTTTTTAATAATGTGATTTCTTTTACCTTATTGTTTTCATATGGAAATATATTTTGTTTCATTTCCTTCTTTTCAATACAGTCGCCTTAGAGATAAAGCTTTAGTACTGTGCTTAGGAAAAGAGTCTCTACATCAGCCTCACTCTGATTAATGCAAGACTTTGAGAGGCTAGGGTATTTTACCACCACTAGATAAGACGAGTTAAAATTCACAATCTTTAAAGGATTCACAGACAAGAATAACTACTTACCTTTTTTATATTTTCATTTGGAATTGAATTTGGTTTCTGTTCTCTATACAGTTGGAAGATGAGATCTCACACAGTCTGGCCCAGAAAGCAGAAAAACAGTTTAGTCATCCTCATCGGAAGGAAATGTTGTTGGAGGTGCTTGGACCATATTTTGTTGAGAAATATCTCACTCATATTCAACGCAAACCGGAAGTACTGGTAAGACTGTGTGGCAGAGAGTTTTAGTAAGTAAAGACTTTTTGTAGTTTCGTTTTAAGATGCAAATAAAATAATTTATATTCTTCTTCTTCCTCACTTTCTCTTTTACCACTATGTGCTGAGGAAGATACAAGGCTCTGATTCATGCTGTTTTAGTCACTTTCATGCATTTGGAAGTCAAGATCACTCAGCAACAACACGAAACTTAAGGTCTTCAATTCCTGTGTGATCCCAGTGCTAACTTATGGTTGTGAGAGTTGGAAATCATCAGTATCAATCGATAAGAAACTAGTCGCTTTCGAGAATAGATGCCTCCGAAAGCTATTGAATGTTCACTGGTCGGACTTTAGGTCCAATACATCTATAAGACAGGAAACAAAACAAAAATATGTGTCTGATTTTATTAGAATGCGTCGCTGGAATTACATCGGTCACGTACTCAGAATGGACATACAGAGACTTCCCCACCAAGCCTTCATATGGTCACCAGAGGGGTAAAAGAAAACAGGGAAGACCAAAAGAAACTCTCAACGTAGAACCATCACAAGGAGAGCTCAACCATAGGTCTCAGTCGCACTCAAGACCTACATCAAGTGGCAAAGAACCGACAGACGTGGAAAGCTATGACCTCTGCCCTATGCGCCATCTTTGGCACAAGAGGAATAACTAACTAACTAACATGACAGACACATTTTGCTGCTGTAGAGTTTCACTGATATTATTTTTCCATCTTGTTCTTGATCTTTTTCTCCTCTGTGTCCTACTCCTCTTTTGATGTAAGCCTTGTGTAATACAGTGTTACAAGGCATTCTCTGGAAATGGGCAAACTGTTTTATTTGCTGTTTTTGTATGTCATTTAGAATTGGTTCTATGCCAACTTTTTTTCGTAACTTCATTCCATATTTTATGTTCTTTAGTCATTCCTGAATCTTTTTTCAAACATGTCATTTCTGTGGTTACTAATTATGAAAAAAATTGATGGACAGAAAAGCAAATGAAGCAGTCCTTAAAAACACAGCTGAAGAACATAAATGAATTAGGCGACTGTCAGCATTTCATAGACATGATATGAGAAGAAATGAATAGAAAACAGTGTCAGCTAGCATATTTGATTGATGGGGTAAAAAGTATGGGGAGACAAAGAAATCAATATTTTGATGTCTTGGGCACACTTTAACCATATATGCTTCTTGGCATTGCTTCTTTTTCTTCAGCATTCTAAGCCCTTGAGGTTCATTGCTGCAGATATCACCCACCTCCATTCATCTCTGTTATTGGTTCTCTCTTTCCAGTTGGTGACTCCAAGTGTGTCTGCTTGTAAATTATTTCTCCACCTCGTGGGCTACTCCCATTCAACTCCCTTGTGTACGCAGTTTTACAATCTGTTTTTTTAACTTTTACAATCCCAGGAACTTTTGAGTAGTGATGAGAGAAACCGACTGCGTACTGATGCAGAGAACTGGCTCAACGTACAGATGTACAAGGCAGTGAGACAAACAGGGCATGGGTATCTGCTGACAGGCATCGGTCCAGGGTTGGTATTGGATTTTTTTTTTTTCACTATGTCCTTTAAAGAGAGGGATTGGTGATGTTGAGGCTCAGAGGTGATGTTGTCTGCCTCTGGCTAGTTCAGGTCTGGTGAGCACTATCTGGACTAGGTGGATTTTTCCATAACATTGGAAGTGAATGTGAAGCAGCAAGGACTTATGTGGCTATTTGCTCGCCAGCTGACCCACATAGATTTCCAGATTTAAACCAAAGGAAAAAAAAGCTTTGGCTCTCAGATTGACCCAGCCTAACCAGGCAAAATTCTGGAAAATAAATGTTGCTGGCATGATGTTGACCACATCAACCATTGCCAGTTGGTCTACAAAATATGTCTATCATCAAATGTCTGATTTGCCACTTGCCTGATAAGGAGTTTTTTTTTTAAAATAGATGTGTATGGTATACTCCTCTCTTACCCTAGTGTAGGGTATCATAAATCTAGCTTTCTCAGACAATGATGAAAACCCAAACTAGTGTGTTTATTGAACACAGTTAAATCTATTGTCAGTTGAAAAGTACAGGTTTCTGGAAATAGTAAAATACTACACAAACTGTGACTGGAAAGCTCAGCAGAGGAAACAACAATGTCATACACAAATACAGCTTAACACTTCAACAGAGTACTAAATACAACACAAACTGTGACTGGAAAGCTTAGCAGATGGAATGACAAGATCATACACAAATACAGCTTAACACTTCAACAGAGTACTAAATAAAACACAAACCATGACTAGAAAACTCAACAGACAAGATATCAGAGCTTATAAACAGCCTAGGTCAATATAAAACCAGATATACGCTATAAGATAAAATATAGATATGAGGGGCTATCATATAAAATTAAACAAGTAAGGTTTCTGAATAGGCTTATGCCCAAGCAACATTTAAAAATAAGAAGTTGTTGATATATAAATGTTTGGAACCTTGTTTGTGCTAAAAAGTTTATTAATATACTTTCTTTGTTTATGAGCTCCTATAGTAGGTAAGTGAATGTGCATACTACACGTGTCACAAATCCACCAGTAGTAAATAGGTAAGTTGTACCCTACCAGGACATCACACAGAGTGATAAACACCTGGTGACACAAAGTGCTGATGAAGATCACCTATGGAGAGGTCCCGGAAACCGCATTCAACTGTTAGGTTGTATTACAGCCCCTGGCAACAGCCAGGGTAGGGCTTCAGTACCTCCAGTAGCTGGAAGGAGAAAGTGATCATTTTTGTGCCCATGGCAAAATGTTAACAACAGGAAATCTAACTACAGCAGTTAATCTAGTCTAATAAATTGCTCTTCAGCATTTTTCTTGGGATTGTCAAACAGGAAAGGCTACAAGCAAGGTATCTGGCCATCCCTGCATTATAGGTCGTCATTTTATATTCCATTAGTTGCAGCATACATGTTGACCTAGTGTACAAGTTGACTTTAAAATGATTTTAACTGAAAATTCTGATTAAGGCGTATACTACCTACCACATTTTATACAATCCATATAAGTCGACACCTAGCTTAACTCTTTGAGTCCCAGGGGGTTTAGCATCACAGGCCCAAGGGGTAGTCAAGAGAGACGTAAAATCAGCGCACCATGCGTTCACTGGGCCTATGGGTAGGAATCTATGAACGTATGATGCGTTCCTTAAGTCTCAAAGAGTTAAGAAAGATTTTTAGGCTTAAAAACTCAAATTGTATGTCACATTTTGCAGTAACATAACTTTTCCTACTCCATCTCCAGTGTGTGCTATGGAACAACATTTCTACACATAAATCCTGTGGAACAAATAGGGTGTAACTTAATGTGGTTGTATTCTAAAATGAATTAACCAGTTCTCTGCTTTTACATGTAACACAGCAATGTTTGCCTTGGTAAAACAAGCACTTAGTTTTCAGCATATTTAATTTTGTTTTTCAGTTAGAAGGAATCATTTGCTAGCTTCGTAATATTCTATAGTTATTGTAATATGCCCATGACAAAATACAGAGAAATAGGCCAGGCAGTAAATTATGTAGTCTGTGGTTTGTGTCTTCTTCATTCAAATATTAGATTTATGCTTGTTTCATGTCTTCCAGAGAACCTCCTCCGATTGGAACATACGCTGCATTTTTACAAGAAACTTTTTCTATTTTCACAACTGGTTTAGACCGAGAGCTGTATATTCAGGAACAGAAATCTGCAGTAAATTTTCAATTTTTATGTACACATTTAATTAAAATGATTTCTGGTTTAATTTTAGCCACCTAATTATTTTTAATGTTTATGTTAACATAACCAGAATAAAAAAATGAGACTTATTTTTTGTTCTTTTTCTCATTTGTTATTTTGTCTGTAATTGTGACTTCAGCTAACAATCAGTGACAGATAGTCTTCACATGATCCCCTGTGGTACGGTAATTTTGTTCACAGACATGAGGGAAAGTTGTGCTGTGTATGATAAGATGCCCTGTACCTCACCTCGGCCATCAGCAGGCGCTGTGCTGGTTTTTATGAATCTTCATGCAAAACTTCTGCCACATGAGATCTTGGGGTTGTTACTCCCTCCGTTGGTAGACTACTTTGTCACCTGTCAGGACAGTATTTGGGTCTGTCTCCTTTGATCTCATCAACACTGCAGGAGACCTTTTCAGGGCTCTTGGTAGTGTGCAGTGCTAATCAATTTTATGTGGCGCACATACCTAGTCACAATTATAACTCAAAGTTCCCCCTTCAGGGATGCTGGTTGAATGTGACGATTTTTTTTTCCAGCAAAGCTTCAAACACCTAGATGTGTAGCGGGGAGGGGTGGGGGGCACCTATGGCTCTGTTGATGAAGGAAGTGACCGTTCAAATAAATGTCCCACAATGTCCCATGAAACCAACCGGGAAGACTAACCTTTATAACAAATCCCTGTAGCAGTCGGATGCGTTGGTAAAAAAAAGCACAAATACTGCAGTTATGCTATCAGCAGTCATGAATAGACGAATAATGAGGAAGAATAAAGAAGAAATGTTTCCCCTGTGTGCTCCCAGCCATTGGCACTCTTGAAATGAAAACAGATCTCCTTTTTCTGATCTTTCTTACTAATTATCTTTAATGCTTTAAATGTTATGTTGTTCCTTGGTGTATTCTGTGTGTGAGATTTTTATCTCATGCAGTTGTTTGATTTCATGCATATTTACTGTTGTAATGTTGTGTTTGTACAGAGAACAGGAAAAGCCAGTGTCATGAATAAACAAGGGGCTTCAGATATCTACAAAGTCCCTGCTCCCAGTCGGTTGAAACCGGTTCCAACAGACGATTCTGGAAACTCCCAGTTATTGCAGAACCAAACTGGTCCATCCAAATGTAAGCTTGAAAAACTGTCTGCTGCATAGAATGTTCTTGAAACAAATAATGGCTCTTGAACTGTTTGTGTATATTCTCTTCTTTTTTTACTCTGCTTTCATTGGAGCATAGGCCCTCCACTAATTCACAATGAACTTGACTTCCAGTCAAAATGGATGTTAGGCAGGGGCACTGTTTGGAGCCGAGGCAAATTTTATGGTGGCCGATGCATTTTTGCTTCATTTGTAGAATGGATATAGTTTCGTCACCCAGCTTCTGAGTTGAATGCATGGCGTGACACTGTAAGCTGCGGATTTCATTTAGAATGTTTTTTTTGACTGTCACCAACGTGGTGGTGTGAATTGTAGATTCAGAAAATGCTGCAATGCCTGTTGTCGCAATGTTGGTGATGCCCGTATGTGATTAAAATTGATCGCATGGGCAACTGCTGATCTGTTGGTGACTTCTGCTACCATCAATGATGAACTGCATTTCTAATGTCGGACTGTAAGTGTTAGCACTTCAAATTCTTAAATGCGTGTGAATGCTAGATATGCTGAGACAGCAGTCTGTCAATCTTTCCACAAGGGACTGTGATAAACATTCTGTGTGTTTTTTTGTTAGCACAGGAGCAGAGCAAAGATGGGGTGACCCGATTTGCTATGAAGTTGAAACGAAGACTACCAGACTAATTCACAGCACATCTTTTGCCTATCAATGTTCTTATCGTATTATTCATCTGTGTCTCTAATTACATGAAGAGAACTGATTGCCCACACTAGACTAAGACAATTTAAATTATTTGATCATGTTTTCAGAAGTAACCACTACTGTTCATCACATCCGTCGACCTAATTTCCAAATCAGCTAACATCTGTGAGGGGGACAACATCGGAGAATAACCAAATGAATTGTTTTTTGCCGATGACCAGACAATCATAGCACCAACAGCAATACAACTACAAGAACTTATTAATAGACTCCACTCAGAATCATATGAAGATCAATGTATACAAAACACAATTGACGACATTCTCCAGAAAAGGAAGACCCACCAGTATAAAAATTGATGAACACTAGTTCAAGCAGACGAAGGATTTTACAAATCTGGTAAAAAAATTTCAGAAGACAGAGGAATTAATAAAGAATTCCAACAAAGATGCAGTAAAGCTAATCAAGTTTTAGGTACCAGTTTTGAAATGTAAGCATGTAAATATGAACACCAAAAGAAAACCGTTCAACACAATTTTCTTACCAATGCTATGCTATCAATGTCAAACATGGGCATTGTCTTCAGAAGACAGATGGAAAATAGTCACAACAAAAATGAAATGTTTAGATACTGTGCTAGTTGTAACAAGGAAAGATCCATTTAGGAACAGTGATATCAAGAAAAGAGGTAGATGGAGGCAGAGAGAGAAGATGCTAGACAGTGTGTCATCATGGCATGGAAGATCATCTGTGTCAGAACTGAAGAAAGAAAAGGGGAAGAGAACTGACTGAAAGTAAATTAGACAGAATGTTGTGGATAGACACGACTACCAATACTACATGACATGGACTGTAAGAAGAAGAAATCTAATTCTGTGTACAAACAGGACATGAATGATACAGGTATTGAGGCTGGTTCATGGGAACAGGATGCCATGCAGTGCATTGCATAATGGCAGAGATTAGGAAAGGAACAGAGACATTGGAGAAAATGATTGCATACAGGTTCAGAGACGAGCGTCTCAGAAGCAACATGTCAGGTAGATATGATGGCGACAATGGTTCTGAAATCTCTTGCACTAATTATGGGAGGTTTTTCTCAACACTAGCAGGCCTTGCTGCTCACAGTTTTCATCGCATGGGCTATGATTCTCACAGTCCCTTGCAGCACAGTATAAATACAATTATCTGAAAAGACAGAAAAGTGCCAATAGGTAGGCAGTTCCTTTCTTCATATATATTTAGTTTTTCCTTTATCTTTTTTTGTTTGTTTGCCCTATGGGTTCCTGCGGAAGGATGTTCTAGTTTTATGATTGTTATGTCTCCTTAATATGTGTCCTATCCAGCACTGGCATTTTGTCCTCACATCTGGATTCGCTGGGTTTGTTTAGTACTGTACAAAAGCTTCACATTAGTGATTCTGTCACACTGTTCACTTCTCTCTATTATGAATGGGTACCAGTTAATGAAAAGTTTTAGTTTATTAGTAAAAATTTTTTTTATTCTCTAAGTTTCTGGTAGTTCAGCAATGCTGATTTGATGTTAGAGTGAAACATTCCAAGTCTGATGACAGATTTTATTTCTTTTTTTTTCCCAAGACTACAGATTTTCTAGTGCTATGAAAACTCCTTGTTTCTGTATATTCTTTAAAAAAAAAAAAAATTATGTTTGTTTGTTTATCTGTGTGCGCATTGCTAAACAGTGCAAGAAACTCATAGACAAAACCTGCACCACATAGGAGCGAATCCCACATGCTTGAATATATTTTTAACAGTGTGGTAAATAATTTAGTTTATTCTTTCATCTAATTTTTGTCATTGATTTTCAAAGCTCACATGGTCATCAGTGAAGCACCACCTTTGTGGGGACCTCAGAGTGACCTCATGGGGTCAGCAGTTGTGTCTTTACTCCAGCGAGACCCTCGTAAGTTTGAGGTGGTTGTTGGACGTCTACATGGACGACAGTTGCCAGGAAGTCTGAGAACATACATTTGGGCAGATGTGCTGTTTAAAGCTGAAAGACAGAAAATGAAGGAAGTGTAGGTTACTGTGTTCTTTAAATCCATCGATTGTTTTAATTAAGTGAACAGTTATTTAATTAGGTGAATGTCAGATTCAAATAGTCTTAGATATTTTATTACATAATTTACTATGCATATATAGGATTTATTATTATATTATCTGCTGGGTGACCATTCAAGATAAGTAATCTTTTTTAGTAAGTATGTTACTTGTATAAAAAAAAAAAAAATGTTTCAACAAAAATGCATTTAAAAAATGATTGATTGAACGAATCATTCAACCAGTCAGTAGTCAATCAACAAATCAATTAAGAATCAACATCGCCTCACTTTGGTCATACTCACAAATGCTTCGTCTTCAGTAGCTAATGAAAAGTTGCAAACTGATGGTGCCAGTTCTAACCTGACTCAAGGTCCAGGTGTCATTTCCCCTGCTTGTTGAAATTTGACCAGTCCTCTCTCAGTCCCTGCCAAATCACTCTCTTCAAATATGGATACTCTGCTCTGTTGCACAGTCCACTTGATTCCAGAAAACATTCACTATGTCTGGAATATCATAAAGTAGCTCACCACCTAGAGGAGCTGCAGCTAATCTATCAGCCTGCCTATTACCCTGCACAAATGAATATCCTGAGAAAAAATCCACATAATGTTCCTGATCTGAAACTTATCATGTGATGCAAACCACTCTGTACACAGGACACGTTTCTATTTTCTGAAGCATCTCAATTCAATGTGTCTGTTACTTCGTCTTGTTAGCGTTTATCGATTGTAAACTCTGGCAGAAAGTTCTTGTTTTTCCACTTCTGGACTTTGGTCCTGTTCCAGCACTTGAATTTTGCATGCACAATTATAGTGTTAGTTCCTGTTGGCAAAGCACAGAAAGAAGAGAAGAATAGAGTATTGAAATGTATCAGGAAATGCCGTTCATATTCAACTCAATTTTTATTGTATTTTATATAAAATATTTACTTATATTCCAGTTATGTTGAGAAAGTTGTACGTGAAAGATTTGCTGTGATTGTTACTCGAGGACTGACTGAACTGAGAATCAAGAAACCCACACAGTCTCCAATTAATGGCCTCATTCAGAATGCAGTTATTGAGGTAAAAACATTTCTCTGTAGTTAAGTAAACAATTGCATTAAATAAAGCAAATAAATGAATCTTTTACAACTGAAATACAAAATCAACTACGCTCAAAAGTAACTAACTACCAGGGGAAGCACAGGTTGACTTCAATGTCCTTTTTAACTATGTTAAAAGTGTCTGACCTAGTGAAGAAGAATTTGTTTATCTGTGTTATCATCAAAGTCCCAGATCTGCTGGCTACTTCCTCTTGATCTCTAGGGGTGTAGCCATGATGAATAGGAGGCTCAGCATACGGATATGAGGTTAAGCAGTCGTGTGCAGGGCGTGATGATTTCTTTGGGGTAGTTTAGGACCAGAGCACCATGTGTTGGCTGTGCATTTATGGCTGACACTGCCTTTCCTTGAAGGCTGACCAGTCGGCAAATTACTGCCCTGGACAAGTTCTCTAGGGGCAACATCTGTAGATAAAGGGATGAAGAGGACACGTCACAAACAAGTCCATGTCATGTCACATGAAAATAAACCAGTGAAAATATTCCTGATGAAGTCAGATGTGTCAGTAAGAAGACGCAAATATCGCAACTATGTTGAAAACAGGCACAGTGCAAATTATATCGCTCAGACAGACAATGAAGAAGAAGACACGTTATATTGGGGCACCTTATGGTATTAAAGTACCCTGCAAGTCCCTGAAGAAGAAAATGAAGAATTAATAGAGGCAAATTCTTCAGCCAGTCACAATCTCATTAAAATTAATTTCCAATCCGCAGACATACAGCAAGACAATAAGTATGATACCATATAAACAGATGGAACACATCAAAGAAACCATAAAGGCTTTGAATGTTTTGTATGTGTATGACAGAAGCTACGAGCCGTATCTTGTACACTGGTTGTTTCCCTTGCAACTGGCATTCAGGAATAAAGAAGCCATGATGGATGATAAAGGTAGGAATATTGACACATTATATTATTGATATAGCATGACATTGTGAGGAGCGGTAGGCCGGGCGGCCAGAATTTGCTGGAGACCCATTTCAAATTCTTGGTGAGGTGATGCATTTTTAGTCTGTCGGGGGGTAATAATAAATTCCTAAAGTGTACAAAGTTCATCGGGACTAGCTATGCTGTCTCAAATCATCAAGACCAAAGACCTTACCCCTCCTACACCGCTCAACAAATGGTAAACCGAGGTAGTAAAGACAGGACAGTTTTTGAGAGTATGGTATTTAGTAAAATATTTACCCACACATACAGGTGCACAGAAATGGGGCATGGTGGATTCATAGTGCCATAATTATAACTTCTTTGGACGTTGAATGGGGTATCTTTGCCCTGCCGTGTTGGTTTGACATCCAGGATGTGACTCTTGAAGTCACTGGGGTGGTGGCACCCTCAACAAGCAGCCCAGGCATAACCAGCAGACAGACAGCATGGCATTTAGAGAGGAATAATAAGTGTTTTTATTTTAAAGTAAGATGGTGTCATGGCAGATTCGGTTGCTGAGTTGTTAAATGTTGGGCCTTTCTGTATTTCTAGGCCATAGCATAACTAGCTTGTATAGTTGGTTCCCTTTCTCATCACCTTCTCTTGCCAGATTTTTATCCCATTTTTCCTGATTGTAGGCGTATTGGGTGTGCAGCACTAGACCTATATTTTATCGACCAATCAGCACTCAGTGAGTGATGTAATCAGTATCATATTGGCGGCCTTTACTTCCAAGGACATTACTTTCTTTTTCTGCCTTCTATTCCCCAATGGGGCATAGGCCCTCAACCAACTCACGCCAAATTATTCTATCCTTTGCTAATACATGCAGCTCACCCCAAGCCCTCCCCATCTTTTAAAGTTCTAATATCCCAGTTGCCAGTTCTGGAGATTTTCCCAGGTGAAAGGAAGTATGTCGATGATCTGGACTCCTTTCAGCTTTCTCTGCTCCGAGTCATACTTCTTCTACTATCTACTAGAAGAGCCTCTTGGCTGACTGTTTTTTTCTTGTTTCTCTGCTTGACTTTTCTATGGTTGGTTGGTTTTTTGGGTTTATTGTTTTACGAGATGAAGTAGCCAACTCCAAGCCCAACTCTACCACATGCCTGGTATGGTCCAGTATTTCTATTCTTTGCTTTCCCTGATAGCTCCAGTTACAAGCAGGTGAATGACTTAACCTGGTACCAATTTAAGGCTAAGTCAACCTGGAAACCAAAATAACTTGAAAAATAAAAGTCCGGCTCCATTTGGATTTGAACCCATGACCTTCGGATTGGCAGTCTGGTTATTATTGCAGATTCGGTCATCACTTTGTTCTCACAGTCTTACATAAATGGATAGCAAGGGGGAAACCACCACATTACCTTCCCAAGAATATTTTTGCAGACACTCACCATGTAAGATGTTTGGTATAATGATATTGTCAAAAATATGATACATGTGACTGAACATCTGCCATGAGAATTTGAAACAAAATATTTATTTATTTTATTCAAAGGAGAGCACGTTTTAGAACTAGCCATGTACCTGGACATGCTCAGTTCAAATTGTTTCCCGTCCTGGCCACATGTTTTTGCCATGGCTGAGCAGGTGATGATGAAGCTGCAGCAACATGATCCAGACTTGTACACCCACCTGAAACATATTGCCCCTATCAACGCCCAGGTTAACCCAAAGGTGAGTGTCACATGACTTCTCTAAAGATTAAAGGCTGAAGGTTCAATGATTAACTCCAATGCACTGGGTTGTTATCTCAAATGGCTCAGTCTCTCTCAGCAGAATGACTAGCTGCCTGCCGATAGCATCACACAAAGCACAGACTCTTTAGCTCTGATGGCGATTCCCAGGATCCATAAAAACTGCACTCATGAAGCAAACAATGCCACCATGAAATGAAGGCACATCATTCAGAACTCTAGGCAAACGGCTTGACTGCCTTGCCATGGAGACCTGTATGACTTCAGTACAGACGCCTCAAGGCAGTTTATGACATCTTGATAAGTTGATACTTTAGACTTTTACCATGAAATCAGATGAACAGGTGACACCTTAATAAGATGAGATTTTGACTTTTACCATGAAATCAGATGAACAGGTGACACCTTGATAAGATGAGATTTAGACTTTTACCATGAAATCAGATGAACAGGTGACACCTTAATAAGATGAGATTTTGACTTTTACCATGAAATCAGATGAACAGGTGACACCTTAATAAGATGAGATTTTGACTTTTACCATGAAATCAGATGAACAGGTGACACCTTAATAAGATGAGATTTTGACTTTTACCATGAAATCAGATGAACAGGTGACACCTTAATAAGATGAGATTTTGACTTTTACCATGAAATCAGATGAACAGGTGACACCTTGATAAGATGAGATTTTGACTTTTACCATGAAATCAGATGAACAGGTGACACCTTGATAAGATGAGATTTTGACTTTTACCATGAAATTAGATGAACAGGTGACACCGTGATAAGATGAGATTTTGACTTTTACCATGAAATCAGATGAACAGGTGACACCTTGATAAGATGAGATTTTGACTTTTACCATGAAATCAGATGAACAGGTGACACCGTGATAAGATGAGATTTTGACTTTTACCATGAAATCAGATGAACAGGTGACACCTTAATAAGATGAGATTTTGACTTTTACCATGAAATCAGATGAACAGGTGACACCTTAATAAGATGAGATTTTGACTTTTACCATGAAATCAGATGAACAGGTGACACCTTGATAAGATGAGATTTTGACTTTTACCATGAAATCAGATGAACAGGTGACACCTTGATCAGATGAGATTTTGACTTTTACCATGAAATCAGATGAACAGGTGACACCTTGATCAGATGAGATTTTGACTTTTACCATGAAATCAGATGAACAGGTGACACCGTGATAAGATGAGATTTTGACTTTTACCATGAAATCAGATAAACAGGTGACACCGTGATAAGATGAGATTTTGACTTTTACCATGAAATCAGATAAACAGGTGACACCGTGATAAGATGAGATTTTGACTTTTACCATGAAATCAGATAAACAGGTGACACCGTGATAAGATGAGATTTTGACTTTTACCATGAAATCAGATGAACAGGTGACACCGTGATAAGATGAGATTTTTGACTTTTACCATGAAATCAGATGAACAGGTGACACCTTGATAAGATGAGATTTTGACTTTTACCATGAAATTAGATGAACAGGTGACACCGTGATAAGATGAGATTTTGACTTTTACCATGAAATCAGATGAACAGGTGACACCTTGATAAGATGAGATTTTGACTTTTACCATGAAATCAGATGAACAGGTGACACCGTGATAAGATGAGATTTTGACTTTTACCATGAAATCAGATGAACAGGTGACACCTTAATAAGATGAGATTTTGACTTTTACCATGAAATCAGATGAACAGGTGACACCTTAATAAGATGAGATTTTGACTTTTACCATGAAATCAGATGAACAGGTGACACCTTGATAAGATGAGATTTTTGACTTTTACCATGAAATCAGATGAACAGGTGACACCTTGATAAGATGAGATTTTGACTTTTACCATGAAATCAGATGAACAGGTGACACCTTGATCAGATGAGATTTTGACTTTTACCATGAAATCAGATGAACAGGTGACACCGTGATAAGATGAGATTTTGACTTTTACCATGAAATCAGATAAACAGGTGACACCGTGATAAGATGAGATTTTGACTTTTACCATGAAATCAGATAAACAGGTGACACCGTGATAAGATGAGATTTTGACTTTTACCATGAAATCAGATAAACAGGTGACACCGTGATAAGATGAGATTTTGACTTTTACCATGAAATCAGATGAACAGGTGACACCGTGATAAGATGAGATTTTGACTTTTACCATGAAATCAGATGAACAGGTGACACCTTGATAAGATGAGATTTTGACTTTTACCATGAAATTAGATGAACAGGTGACACCTTGATGAAACATTTGAGATGTAACGGAAACCCCCTGGCAGAATTGTTATTCTAAATACTTATAAATGTATGTGAGCTGTGGTGGTGCAGTTGCTAGACATCTGCCTGCTAACCTGAAGATCCAGTTCATAACCACAATAGGGGTATTTGGCCAAGGCTTACAGGTCAACCTAGCCTAAAATAGATACTAGGAAGTGTTTTGGAAAGTAAAGGCAGTCACCTTGATTAGGTCAGCCTCTGTTGAGTTAAGTTAAGAACTAATACTGCAGCACTTGAGACATTCTCATGAGCGCTTTGTTCCCCATCATCAGCAGCCAGTGCTAGATTTCAATGCCAGTGGTATCAGCTGAAGATGGCGTCGAGCACTGAACATGCACATTATAGCTGCAGCAGTAATGGTTGACCCCATCAAATGTCACTGGATCTATAGAAGCATAGAACTTCAACATTTCCTCACTGTGCCAAAGGTATTTTCTTCTTCTTGTTTGTGTTCAGTTTCATATGCTCAGATCAGACCATCAGGTGGATTGCCTCTAGGAACTCGCATGTCAGTAGCAGGTCCTTCATGGTTCCCCAGAGCTTGCTCTGTAACTTTGCTCTTGAGGCCAGGTGTCTTTTCAAAGTTGTAGGTAGAGTGGGCCGGTCTGCAGAATGTGCTCAGGTGTTTGTGGTCCTGTTTGACAGGGACACTGTGGGGACTGTACAATCTTTATTTTATGCATGTGGAAGTTGAAGTGTCCTGTTCGTAGACGGAAAATTAATTTATGTTGCTTTCTGTTGAGTTTGCTCATGGGGTCTTGTGGGTGTTTACTGTTAGTTTATTCTCTCCACAATTCTTTGTATTTTTCCTTGATAAGTGTTCTGATTACTGGTAATGACAATGAATGGGCGTGTTTTTTCTCCTTTGTTCCATTTTTTGCTATGAGAAGCGTATTTAGTGTATAAAAATATGGAGCTGTTATACCAACTGGCATGGAAATATGCCCTTGACCTTCATTTAGTCTGAAGAAAACAATATTTTTCAGGAATTTCTGGTTCATTTGCTTTATCAAGAGCGAGAAAAGGCTGATGAACTTTTGCAGACAACCTCATCTAATACACCACGAGCACCTACTTCTGTTACACAGTTTCTGACTGATCCTACAATTTTCTTGCGGAGATGGATCGGTGAGGTAAGCGTATTTAATGTCAGTGTATGTTTTTTCTGTCAGATATTTAAATTATCTTTATTTTAAAAGGTTAAGCTGGAAAAGGATGATAAAAAATAATCAGCGATTAAGTAAAATATACAAAACTATTTGATAAAAATTTTAAACTAGAGCTTTAAAAAGTTTTGGCACGAAGGGACACATAACAAGTTAGAATAGGCCAATGGCTATAACAGCTGGCAGTTATGAATCATGTTATACCAGATTTGGATCATGTTTGGCAGTTATGAATCATGTTATACCAGATTTGGATCATGTTTGGCAGTTATGAATCATGTTATACCAGTTTCAGATCATGTTTGGCAGTTATGACTCATGTTATGCCAGTTTCAGATTGTGTTTATGTTCTGTTTCCTCTTATACTCTTTGCTCTATCTTTGAGAACAAGCACTCCATTCCCCATTTTTAACAGCCAGAGAGAATGTCCAATGCTGATAGTCCAGTAACAGTTTGACTATAAGTCTGTCTTGTATTTTCTCTGAGCTTAGAGTGTCGACCAGATTCCTGGTCGCTCTGGACGGTACCATTCACTCGATACCATAGTGTGCTATTCACACTTTCACATTGTTCACTTGCTCTAACTGGGTTATGATAACATTTAGCTTTTGATGCATCAATTCACCATCAGTAGTGCATCACCAGGAAGGCTGTCTGCTGTCTGTAAATACTGTATTAAATCATGACCCGGTTACATCCTATCTCTCCGTTGGTGTGAAGTGTCAATACTGGTCTTGCATACTCTGCTGGTTTCTGACTTTGGAGAAGAGAAAGAGAACTCTGCAGAGATGAACCATGATACCAGCGTGCGATAAATTTTCCTACACCATCTTCATTTTCATAGATCCTGGCAAGATAAATCTGCAACATAATATTTTATAAAATACCCTGCAAAATAAATCTGAAACATTATATTGTATCAGACTCTGCAGCATAAATCTGCAGCATTATATTGTATCAAACTGCCTGCAACATAAACTACAACATTACATTGTGGCAGGTTCTTTGCAACATAAACTACAACATTACGTTGTGGTAAGTTCTTTGCAACATAAAAATGCATTATATTGCATCTTGTATGCTTCCACCAACAGGGTTTCGTGAGTATTTTGGACACACCATTAGTTATGTATGTCTGGGACCAGATTTTCATGCAGAACTGGCAACATTCAGCGATCATCAATGTCTGCCTCAGTCTGATCGAACTGCTCAGATACCAGTTTTTGGAGGCTCATGATTACAACACTATGAAAGCGGTAAGTAATGATAAAATCAATTTCTTCTTCTTCCTCTGATGTCACCCTGAGCTACAATTTGTGCACGTTTTGGCCCAACACATCTGATTTTAGCAGACTCCTTAGTTGCCTTTATGGCTTGCTTGTTAAATGACAGTGGGTCTATTTTTTAAAAAGCAAAATGGGCCACTGACTGGAAGCCAAATTGGTGTAAAATCAAACATTTAGAATCTTGAGAAATATAAGTTAAGGAAATTAAATACATAAAATCTCTAGAAGTGAAGTTATTAGTCATGTGAGTTATTTCTGACTGCCTTGCTCATGTTTTTGAGTTCCCATCAAGAAAGGCATTTTTAACAACTGACCTGGGTTCCCAGATTGACCCAGCTTAAAGCAGATTCTGGGAAGTAAAGATGGCCAACATTAAATTGACTGCACAACTAAGAAGCCCTAATAACAGTTTGATGATGGAGGCTAGAAAGCTGTACCTTATGACATGACAAGGGACCTTTTTTTTTTTAACCCTCTTTAGTCGCGTGAACATTATAAATGTCAACACAGTAGCTGAAATGAGGACTTTAAAATGAATAAATCGACAGCTGGTCAGTTTGTTTACATTATCATGAGAAAAACTTAAAAATCAGTTACATAAATCAGTAAACAGGTTGCCTGGCCAGTTTTTTTAATCCTTTGAAAATAAAGATTCCTTAAACGAAAATAAAAAATACACCTGCATGCGCGCGTGCACACACACACACACACACACACACACACACAGAATCTTTACTTGCAGCGACACGAGCCCTGATTATCTAAATTTTAGAATAATACTTTGAAGCTTTTTCAGTTTCCTAACAGATTCAAAAGTTATGATACATTTCTGTGTTAGTTTATCACTCAGGGGCTTTAGGTTCTCAAAGAGTGCTAAACAAAATTTAAAAGAAACAAATGGCAGAAAATTGGAACTGTGCACACAAAATTTAAGCTTTGTACAGTTATATACAGACAGTAGCTGCAATAATTTAAACACAGCTTAGCCATAGTATGGTATTGTCTGAAACAGTCCTTTGGATGCAGATATGGGTGACTATCACATCCTTCGCAAATGAAATGGGTCCTCCTGGGTTTACCCCATCAGAACAAATAGCTGACCACTCAGCTGTCACTGGTGTAAATTCACTGTCCGAATCACTTTCCAAAAAATTTAAATTATCATTATTATTATCAGATTTAAAAACATCCGACTGAAACAATTTCAGAGCTTCAGTTGCAGAAAGGCACAATTTTGCGGCCTGTATTTATGATCGGAATATTGGTATCTGCCAAAGACCTCTTGGTGACCTTGTTGGTACATGGCTCGTGACTGAGCCTATGACAGACAAACTAACTTTGACACACACTGGACCCCAACGCACACAGGGTGTACATGACAATCTTTTATGTAAGTACAGATATTTCAACAGACAGTTTACTTCCCGCTGTGTGGCCACATTTTACCTGGTTCCTCTTTCCAAATGAGCTTTACAGTTGCCACTCTCTCCAGTCTGTTCCACAGGCAATCTCGGGTGCGCAAACCACTTTGACCTACCAGGATGTCATAGCCTCTACCGAGCACGGGGTCAGTGTGACAAAGCTAGACGATATCTCACAGCGCAGGGTCAGTGTGACAAAGCTAGACGTTATCCCACAGCGCAGGGTCAGTGTGACAAAGCTAGACGTTATCTCACAGCGCAGGGTCAGTGTGACAAAGCTAGACGTTATCTCACAGCGCAGGGTCAGTGTGACAAAGCTAGACGTTATCTCTCAGCGCAGGGTCAGTGTGACAAAGCTAGACGTTATCTCACAGCACAGGTTCAGTGTGACAAAGCTAGACATTATCTCACAGCACTTGTATTTAACCAATTCAAATAATCAACAGAACTTAACCCTACTTACAAACTGGGAAAACAATACAACAACTTTCTCTACTAAGCTACACAGTTCAAAGAAACTATTCTACTATACTATAAAACTAGAAATCAACTATGCAGTCACTAAAGTAATATCCTAACTCTAATTTTCTAACTCTGTCTCACTAACACCTTCCCTCTGTCCGAAGGTCCACACCTCCAAGCCCTGTGTTCCCTCCCCGCGTGACTTTTGATGGGTCAACTCGCTCAGTACGGGACCATGCAACAATCATGCCTGGGACCTTCCCGGAGAAGCGTTCACGCATACTTGCGGTCCTCAATTTGTCTCCACTGAGTGGTCGTTTTAACTCTCAGCATCAAGCATACTGTGTTTGACCTTTGTGTCAACTCTAGTTACAGAGTGTCTACGATACACCGTCATTATGGTCTATTCCGTCCCATGACTGTACTCACAGGTTTCTGACAGCATCCATGGCCAGTCCAACACGAAATCAGAAATGCACTGTTTGAAAATGATGCTAGCAATGAATTGGATCAGTTTGTACCAGATGTGCAAACAAAGACTTGTATACATAGAAAAACATTAGAGTAACCTTCCCTGAATACTTTAGTGGTTGTTCTGAACATTAGAAATTAAAATTATGGAGCTATATGCAAATCAGTATGTAGGGACACACACTCGACGCAGAAAGTGGGGTTTGGGCAAATTGGAACTTCTCAGCCAACACACACAGATTTGCTCAGGCCTCAAAGAGTTAAAGAACCTATTGTTTCTTTTATTTCTTGGCAACAATGGTTCAGGTTATAATTCCACTGTCGAGAGAGTAATTAACCTGTCACCCCGGTGACCTAGAAAATAAAGTGGGTGGAAGGTTAAACTGACTTGCTTTGGATGTCCCGTTTTCAGCTCAAAATATTACGCTCACTATATGTAAAAGGTCTCTAAGGAGGACTGGCATGAGACTAAGGCTACTGCGTTATTTAGTGCAAAATATGACCAGTCATGAGAAAATCTGCGAATTATGAGGTATGGTTTGGAATCGATGCTCAATTCGGAGGCTGGGTCATAAAATAATATCATTGTTATCATATACTGTGCCAGCAAGCTTAAGATTTCATGTTTCACCATCTCACATGATGACAGATTGCGCCGATTTTACGTCTCTCTTTACCACCCCTTGGGCCTTGGGTGCTAAACCATCTGGGACTCAAAGAGTTAAGTCATCCAGTAAAAGTATAGAACCTTTTCACGCCAGTGAGGCATCGGACATATGGTGCTAAACATCATATTTGTATAGACTAATCACTGCTTGGTGGGTGATGTGGTCAGTTTCGTGCTGCCTGCAGTTACCTGGTACCCTCGCTGGGCTGACCTGAGAGCTAAGGTCAGTTTTTGAAGTGGGAGGGGGGTGGGGAAGGAGGAACCTGCCTCAGTGCTGATTCATACCAAAGATCTTTAGCCCTACAGGTGAGCATCTAGCTGCTAAGTTTCTGCACTCCCAGAGCTCTTGATAATAAGTACTACTCTTTGAGTACCAAGGAAATGCATCAGGAGATGATTTGTAGCTGATTTAACTGTCTTCTACTATGATATAAAGATTTGTGCAAGTAAGACGTGAATGATACAGGTATTGAGGTGAACTTGTGGAAACAAAATGCCAAGGACCGTGTTGTGTGGTGGGGACACATCAGGAAGGGAATAAGAAGAAGGAAGAAATGATTGCAGAAAGGATGATAGCTGAATGTCTGATAAGAAACAGACTAAAGATTAATGTTGATAACATGGTCCTGAACTCCCTGTCGCTTAATTGTGGAAGACTTTTCTTAATGCAGGCAGGTCTTACTTGTCACACTCGCCATCACCATGGGCTGTGTGTCTCATGCCTCCTCATAGCACAGTATAACAGTATCGTCTGGAAAGACTGAATTAATCGAGTAACATAAAGTGTATTGATCGGCACTAGACAACATAAAAATCGAAAGCTATAGTTACCGTGCCGGGAATTGAACCTGTCACCTCCAGATGGCGTCTACGCCTCGCCATGAATACAAGTGCACTAAGAACATGGTCAACTAGGCACTCTAATAAAGGTGTCTTATTGGCCATGTCTATCATACAGCTTGAAATCCACAACTATGGAATACGGACAGAATTCATTTCAACCCATTGAAATGGCACCATAGGTTACAGAAATTTATATTAACGAAGCAAATGTTGAATAACAATCACAGCAACAATTTACGAACACAGTCAGACCTTATTGCTTTGTCTAGAATACACAAACATTTAAGAAAGGTATTTGATTGGTAGGTTCCGGTGTGTATACGTCATTCCTTTAAATAAACAGAGGGGGAACCTTTGAGGCCGTTAAATATTATGAATTAATTGAGTAACATAAAGTGTATTGATCGGCACTCATAGAAAGAAGTAGAAAGATAGAAGAACACACTAGACAACATAAAAAGTCTTGATAGACTGAAAGGTGCAATCAATTAAATGTCCTCTGGCACTGAGAAGATTTAAGTACATAAATAACTTGAAAGATTTTGTGATACAACACATGCATTGTTGTCATGTGTGCAATGTGCAGGTGTTTCTGATGGAGCCATGCAAGCTATACACAGTCGACTTTCAGATGGCCTGGATCCATGCAGAAAATGGGAAGGATTTGTTAGACATCAGTGACCTATACAACCGACAGAAGCCGCAGTATGTATGCATTGTCTTTCTGTCTCCACATGTTTCTCTCTGTTTCAGCATCTCTCTCTTTATCAGCATTTTTCTCTCTCTCTTTCTGTCTGTCTCTCCAAGAGTCTCTTTCTGTGCTGTCTAAATATCTCTATCCTTGTGGTGCCACTTTTATCTGTCACCTGCCAGCTGTAGATTCATTTACTTCTGATGACAGAACTAAATGTGTACTCCACCTCTGTCAATGAGGTGTTCACAGTCTAGAGGATGGAATGGTAGATTTTAACTTCCTGGCTATCCCTGTATGGTACGATACTATTGTCTTAAACTTTCCATATGGCCCTTGGTAACAGACAGGCAACCATTAGCTTTACTGCCTCTAAAATATAAAATGTAATATTCATGGTAATGTAAATTTGTTACAGGTATCAGGACTAAACAGTCAACATTTATGAGACATAAGCTGAAGTATATTATGGAAGGTCATAAAGATTATCTTGGTTACAAAGCCATAGCCCTTCCCCCCCCCCCCCCCCCCCCTCGATAATTTTGTTGTATGGTATATGTAGCGATCAATGTGTCATACATACAAAGAGTTAATGAAAAGACTATTCACTTGCCAAATGTTTATATGATCTCACAGATCTCCAGTGTCTCAACTGAGTGAAGAGATTGTCTCAGAACGAGAGTCCCCCATCAATGGATTGTTGAAACCGTGTGGAATCAAAAACATACGGACACATCTGATTATTCCTTTGAGTGCTATACATAAGGTGAGCTTTCTTCTACTTCTGCCTTTTTCTATTCTAATTTTATTTCTTCTTTTATTCAGTTTTATATTTTTAATTCTTCTCTTTCTTTCTATGCTTGCCTGTCAACTCAAGGTCATAGGCTCATCTTCTTCTTCATTCTCCCTTCAAAAGGCAGTTCACATGTCTTGTTGCAGTTTACAGCATGGCTGTTCTCTCTCCTTGTTTATGTTTATTTGACAGATCGACATGATGGCACATGGGTGTAACCCATAAGTTCTCCGTTCTGCTTCTAACTCAAGCCTGAGTCTGAAGAATCTCAGCGCAGTGCATGAACTCTGTTGTACTGGTGAGGATCCTTAAATAATTTGGGTAGATTTTTAACTCAAAATTTTGCCTGGGCAGCGCCATTAGGCTACTCTTTTTGATTTTCAACTACCAAGGAATTTTTTACAATTTTTTTAACGTTTTTCTCCTTTTTCTTTTAGGCCTTCAGCAGCTGTAAACTCTGGCGGAAAGTTCTGGTTGTTAGCCCACTTCTGGACTTTAGTCTTGTTCCAGAACCTGAGCTTTGCTTGCACATCTGTTTTACAGGTCTGGTTTATTTTGTATGCAGACTGTTGGTCTCTTGCCTCTCAGGCAAAGATGCACTCAGGCTGAAGGAAACACCCCTAATTTGTCAATTTTTACAATGGGCTTGTGTATTTTTTCCATCCCCCTTCCCGACTCACTCCCACACAATGGGACCCTGAAACTTACACTTGGAAGCAAGGCTGTAATATCTGCACTTTTTGCTGAACACATCTGATTAGTCACCTGTTATAAGTTAAGACATGCATGCTAGTTATTCAACCCCCCCTCACCCCCAACCCCCGCCACCCAACCCATCCCCACTTCCCCTTGCCCCAGCATAAATGTATCCCAAGAAATATCTGGGGAAGTAAAGTCAGCCAGCATAATAATAACCGGAGCACCTCTGAAGTGCCAATTGGTCTATAAAAATAACATTAGTTAGTTAGTTGGCTTATCATCATTGCACTCCAGACATGTCCATAGGTGCTTGGATCCTCCCCTCAGTATGAACCCTAACATCCGATGGCTAATAGTACCAGTTCTATGTTGATTAACAAGTCTTCTGGTGTGTCTGGTGTGCATCTCGTTTTTTGCTATAAAAATACCATGCTGACATCATATGCCCAAATAATGTAAAGAAGAATCTTTACTTTTCATTCACCTTTTCTTTATTTCTTATTTCTTGCCTACTTGCCTTCCTCTTTCTTTGTTTCTACTTTTTTGCTTTCTTTTCTCTCTCTCTCTCTCTCTGTCTGCATATTCCTTCTTGCCTTCTCTTCTTTTTCTGTCTCTGCTTTCTTCCTGGCTCTGTTTTCTCCTCCCATTTCTCCTAGATACTTTTCTTCTTCTCTTTCCCTGACCATGCTTTCCTGACTACTCTCCTGTTTGTTACTTCTCATAAATTCTTGCCTATTTCACTTCCTCTGTTCCTTTTTTTTACCCACCCTCCTCTGTCTCTCTCTCTTTTTCTGTCTCGCTCTCTTTCTTTTTCTCTCTCCATCCATGCAAGTGGGAAGAATCTATCTGACTGGGTTTGAAAACCTTCCCTTGTACCCTTTTTGTGATTCTGTCAGGTGTCGCTGATATTCATAATTGCAACCACACACAAAAAAAGAAAGAAAAAAAAAAATTCACTTCTGTTTTGTTCAGGATCCATGGCTAGCAGATGTGAAACCTGAGAACCTTCGCCTGAATGTCAGCATCTATTTTGGTAGTATAAAGATCCGCTCACGGCTGTCACACTCGCTGTCAGTCATGACATCACAGACCTGGGATGGTTACGGCTCACTGAATATGGACTTTGAGTTTCCAGGAGAACGCCACATTTACGACATGATTGACATCTCCCCGTATGATGTGGAGCGGGAACTAGGAGCATATCCGAATGCTATTTTTAGGGTGGAGTGTATAAAACATACAACTGGACAAAAATCTGGTAATATTTTTATCTGTTATTAAATCTCTTTTAGCATTCTTGAATGTTTTGATATTAATCATCCCAGTGTGAGTTCCGGGGCCTATTGTTGGATGGGGAGAGAATAGTCCCACTGCCTCCTAACAAGCATGTCAACTAATTTGGGATGTGTTCTTTAAGTCAGAGTGCATCTGCCTGAGAGGTGAGCAACCAACAGTCTGCATACAAATATCTGGAAAATAGATATGCATGCAAAACTCAAGTTCTGGAATAAGACTGAAGTCTAGAAGTAGATGAACAACCGGAACATTCTATCAGAGTTTACTGCCAGTGAACAAGAAGCAGAAGAAGAAGAAATGTATACCATTTCCAGATTCTTGGGGTGCTCTAAAGCACCCCCCATTGTTTATTTTGAAGCTGCTGAAATGTTTACTCTTGATATCCTCCATTATTATATCTTACAAGCCATTCCTCTATCATAACATCTGTGCCTTAATGTTGTTGATCCATTGTTTGAACAGAACAGAAACAAGCCATTGCTCTATCATAACATCTGTGCCACGATGTTGATCCATTGTTTGAACAGAACAGAAACAAGCCATTGCTCTATCATAGCTGTCAAAGAATGTCTATGAGTAAACAGGTGTGAGGTTTTTACAAGTGATATGTCACTGGGATAATCAGCGTCCATGCAATTTGATATTTCCAGAGAAAAAAAGGACCTTTGGGTTTGCCCAAAGTGATGTTTATCTATTTTTTATATATATTTTTATATTAAGATATGTGAGAATGATTGTTTATTTTACTGCTGTTTATCCCCATTTGGTTTGGTTTGGTTTAGGCAACGGATCAACATCACCGCACAAGGGGTAACTCATAAGTGCTCGTTCTACTTCTGACTCAGAGTCCCAAGAATCTAAGCGCAGTGCATGAACGGCGTAGCATCGGCGAAGATCTTGAAATACCTTGGGTAGATTTTTAACTCCAAGTGCCTGGGCAGCACCGCTAGGCTGCTCTTTTCGATTTCCAGCTGCCAAGGGATTTTTTTACGTGCGCAAAGATACACACCGGAATCTGATCTTACTACCCAGAGACTAGAGGAAATTACTAGAAGTCCACGTGAAAAAATCCCAGCATTTATCTCTATATAAAGCATAGACCTTCACCTTGATCCTAGTTGGTTAGTTTGTGTGTGTGGCTGTAATGTTTTACAGGATGATGTAGCGAACCCAAGCCCAACACCACCATTAGTCACCTCTAATGCCATCCCTTCAGAAATAACCTTGGTTTCCAAGTCGACCCAGCCTTAAATGGGTAGCAGGTAAAGGAAATCTAAGCGCCCAGCATGATGTTGACCGCATCACCCACTGAGCGCTAACTGATCTATAAAATATAGGTCTAGCCCTGTGTTCCCATTATGTCTAAAGGAGTGGAAAAGGGTATTTTACCTTTTGTTTTCAATGACATGCCTGGTAGGGTGTGGGAGCAGCCATGGTATAATGACTAAACTCTCACCTGCGGATCAAACGGTTATGGGTTTGGGTCTTTGCATAGCCGGACTGTTTTTAAAAAATGACCTTGGCTACCAGGTCGACCCAGCCTTAAATGTTTACCAAAGTCATTGGAAGTAAAGGTGGCTGGCGTGATGTTATTGACCACATCACCCCATGAATGCCGATTGGTCTATAAAATATAGGTCTAGCCCCAAATGCCCAGTATGCCTGAAAGCATGGAAAAGGGTCCTTTATTCTTTCTTTCCTACACTGGTAGGGTGTAGCTTGACTACTGTTTGCTTCCCTGAGGGCCCCAGTAACATGTTGATGTGTACTTAGTTTATATTTGAGTCTACATTTAAAAAAAAAATGCTTTGTAATTCCAGGGTGCCAAGTTTGATTCTAGCTGTCATTTGGGGGAAGGGGAAGAATAGACCCACAGCCTCCCTAACAAACATGTTGTAAAAGTGACTAATTAGAGGATTTTCCTCTGTAATCAGAGCGTATCTACCTGAGTGGCAAGACACCAGCAGCCTGCATACAGTTAAGCTAGATCTGTGAAGTGGATGTACACACAAAATTCAAGTTCTGGAACAAGACTGAAGTCCAGAAGTGGATAAACAACCAGAACATTCCACCAGAGATTACAGCCGGTGAACACTAAAAATAAGAAGATCCTAGTTACTGGCGATTTGGTAGCAGACTGTCTTGCATTGGTTTTGACAGTGGTATCAAGAGCAGACTGGTAAGAAAGCAATGGCAAACTACTGAATGTAAAATAACTTAGTGAAACCGCCCCCCCCCCCCCCCCCCCCCCAAAAAAAAAGTATGGGTTTACTTCTGCAGTGTCGTGAAAAGGATGTATTTGACTTAGCATACACAATCTGGCATTTCAAGTTCGTGTATTTTCAGACTCTGGTCCTGTGACTCTGGGATGGAGCCGTATACCACTGTACCGCCACACCAGCCTTGATGAGGAACAACTGTTTGCTTTGATTGTTGGAGACGTGACAGTACCTCTTCATCCTGGAGCCGTCCCAGAGAGTTTCATTTCTGCTCAGCCACAGACCCCAACAGAGGAAGGCCAAGCTCAAGGTTTGTCTGGTTATGTTTTGAAAGGCCAAGAGCAGCTAATCAAGAATTACATTGGCGATCGGGTCACCCATTGGCTCATCCGTAGATGACTTCATCGCCAGTTGGGACAGTATTTGGGTCTGTCTCCTTTGATCGCATCAACACTGCAGGAGTCTTTTTCAATGCTCTTGGTGGCTTACAATGCTTGGGAAATGTTGTATAGCACACAAAATCTAGTCATAATTATAACATAAAGTTCCCCTTTGGGGATGCTGACTAAACATGATGATTTTTTACTTTTTTTTCCTGCAAAGCACCTACCTACCTATTTTATCAAGAATAAGACAGTCTCTGTTGTGCAATGTTTTTTTTTTTAGAGAAAAACTGATAAATAAATGCATTAAAATGTGCATTCAACTGTTGTAACAACAGTGCTATGGAACAGAATGGTGTTTGTTTTAAGAGGAATGCAGGAAGATACTATATGTGCCATGCTGTCACTCAAAAATAACAATAAATTATACAGACATTGAAAAACTCACAGACTTTTAAAATCTAGGCTTCAGAGGGGTCTGTTCAAGAGGAGCCAAAAGGAGGATGGTTAAAGCAATTAAAAGATTAAACAGCGTTAAAAGTCTATGGTTAAGCACCAGCAAGGAAAATCAAGGGTCAGAATTTTTAAGGGCATACGTCTTCCATGCAGCAACATGCGGATGTAAGTTCGTGGACTAACTCCCAGTCATGAAGGAATAAAATAGGGGCTTTTGAACTAAAATACTCATGCTATAAAATAATTCTCAGAAGAAATACTGTCATCATCAAAGATCTGAACATTAAGAAAGATGGGTTGAAATATTTTAGCCGTATCAAGCGGCATGGCAGATTGGAAAGATATTAGCAGAAAGCCTGCTACCAGGAAAGATGGGCAGGGGACCGACAAGCACAAAGATGGGCACAGGATGTAAGTGACACCTTGGGTAGGAAAGTGCACAAGGCATGAGATCTGGCGAGAGACCGTGTTTCTTTCAGGTGGGACGTAATTGAAGCGACATTCTGCAAAGGACCTTCATGTAGAAGGTGATAGTAAACCATTTTTATATGCATGTACGTTACCACTGTGTATAAGAAACACAGAAAATAGTTGAAGTTGTAGTCGAAGTTTCAACGTCACTGCAATGTCGTCACCCCAAACATGCTCCATTTCTGTGCCAGTAAAAATAAAATAAAATATCCCTCACAGCCCTGTTTGACAAACTGGTTAACAAAAAGTCCAGAAATATGCACACACAGGAAATGCATGAGGCAATTGCTAGAGGTGCCAATCCAACAGTCGCCAACAGAAATGAAGTTTGTTGTTGATGGAAGTAGTCGATCACAATAAGCTGGCTATACACATGTAAAATTATTACATGAGGTATTTTGTCAGCCCACATGTAAACTGTCTACCTGCGATATTGAATACTGTACCATGACACAACCACTGCATAAATAAAAGGCATTTGACAAGAGAGGAAAAAATAAAGAAAAAAAAATAACTCACAGTGCTGCACCTAGCACTTAACTCAGTAGCTTAGGTGTTGAAACTGTAGCCTTCCGTCCCTACATGGAAACTGCATTGGCAAAGCGCTGTCAGAAGCACACACAAATAACTTCAAAGGTAAACATTCTGCCGTGCCTGTTCTACATGTTGAACTGGAACTTTTTTACCACATATAGTAATAGTGCAACCTGGCACATATGTCTTGAGAGATAACTGATGAGAGTTGACTTGAGACTGACCATCTTTATTCAGTAGAAAAAAACCCTGCAAACTTCATTCAAAAACTGAATTTACTCTGTTAATTGGGAGCCGCTGTAGTGTAGCGGTCAGACACTTGCCTGCAGATTGAAAGGTTGTGGGTTCGGGTCTTGACAGAGCCATACTTTTTTTTTCTTTAAAAATGACCTTGTATCCCGGATTGACCTAGCCTTGAGTGGGTACCAGGTACAGTCCTGGAAAGTAAAGGTAGCCGGCGTGATGCTGACCATATCACCCACCAAGTGCCATTTGGTCTATAAAATATAGGTCCAGCCCTATATGCCCAGTATGCTTGAAGGTGTGGAATAGGGCCCTTTACTTTACTTTTAGCACAGAGCATTTGACAGAAGTTGGTGGAGGGTCTAAATGCTGCACTGAAAGCTCTCCATCAAGAGTTATAAAGTTACCTAATATTCCTCTTATGTTACCTGGTTGACCGCAAAACTATTCTGGTGTGAAAAATATCTGGCATTCCCAGGGGTTGAACTTTGACAACTGCTTTATTTGTTTTGTAAGCCTAAAAACACTTGGAGACATACTCAAGAGGAGATCGAAGCAGGTAGGTAGGTAGTTGTACCCCACCAAAACATCACACAAGCAATAAACACCTGGTGAGGATCACACTGGAGAGGTCCCAGAAATCCCTTTCAGCCGTTAGGCCATATCTATGCCACAGCTATATTCAGGGTCCGCGCAGAAGCCAGGGTGGGGCTTCAAAAAAACAAAAAAAATTGAATCTCACATGGGGAGATCGGAGCACTAATGTTCATGTCCAATATGCGATGAAGATGTTCTTTAAATGAACATTTAACAATGTGTTTATTTATATATACACGTTACATTTCTGATTGTTTTTCATTGTTTTTTTTGTTGTTGTTGTTGTCTCTGCTATCAGCACCTGCCCTGCTTGGTTACAGCTGCACTCTCTCGGCATTTGTATTTGACCCAAATAATGAGCCGGCAGATCGGAAAAGTGGTGCCTTACAAACCAAAGCCAGCCGCACCTCCTGTAGCAACCAGGGTCACAACTCCCATTAAACAGTGAGTACTTTGACTAGTCTTGGCTCTCAGGTTGACCCAGCCTAAAATGGGTACCAGGGAAAGTCCAATGTGAAATAAATTGCTGTTACTGAAAGAAGTCACCTTCCCTGAAATAAGTCACTTTCACTCAAATAAGTTACTTTCACTGACATAAGTCACTTTCACTCAAATAAGTCACTTTCACTGACATAAGTCACTTTCACTTAAATAAGTCACATTCACTGAAAAAGTTAACTTCCACTGACATAAGTTGCTGTTACTGAAATAAGTCACTTTCACTTAAATCAGTCACTTTCATTTAAGTAAGTCACTTTCACTGAAATAAGTCGCTTTCACTGAAATCATTTAATGCCATTGATGTAGGTAATTTTCACTTAAAACCTTTAATATCACTGAAATAAATCGCTTTAACTGAAATCAGTTAATGTCACTGAAATATGTTGCTTTCAAAGAATGTCAAAAAGGTAATGCTAAAATTTATTGTTGGACTCTTCCGCTGTATGGCAGTAAATCGTGAATATATAACTTAGGAATAGATTGAAAATGTGGAAATGTGACCTCTGTGGTGAATGTTTCCTAAACATTAGGCAGGTGCTTGGAAGCAAATGTGGCCGGTGTCATGTTGACCACACTGCCTGCCGAGTGCCGATTAGTCTATAAAATTTAGTTCTAGACCTATATGCCCAGTCTGCCTAAAGGCATGAAAAAGAGTACTTGACTTTTACTTGTTCTCCACGTAATTCTTTTTCTTCTTCGCGTTCTCAAGCTGTAAACTCTGGCGGAAAGTTCTGGTTGTTTATCCACTTCTGGACTGCTGTTCTGTTCCAGAACCTGAGTGTTGCGTGTGTATCTGTTTTACAGATCTGACTCATTTCTATGCAGACTGCTAGTTCCTTGCCTCTCAGGCAGATGCACTCCGACTTTGAAGAAAGCTCCCAATTAGTTGACTCTTAAGACATGCTTTTGGGCAGGTAGTGGGTCTGTTCTTGTTTTCCCTATGATAGGGCCCCAGGACCCACTTAATAATGATAGTAATAATGATGATTATGATGCCATTGATGATGATGAGTATTAAAGTAGAATAACAAAATGAGGTAATTTTCATAAAGACCGAAATAATCGAGTTGAGTTGAGTTGAGTTGTTTCAAGAACCAACATTGCAGCACTCGGGCATCCAATATGTACTTAGTCCCCATCTTCAGTAGCCTGCGCATAGGTCCAATATCAGTGGTGCCAGTAGCATTCTGATTATACGTCCATCTTTCCTTTTGTCTGAGCACCGAGTATCAGCAAGATCTCCTCATCACTCCCCGCTGCATCACTCTGACCAACTGAAGTAATTATGATGAGAATGGTGTCAATGATGGTGGTGATAAAATGATGTCAAAGACGATGACCAGATTTTGGAGTGTTAGTTTTTAAAATCATTTACCTGGCAGATGTGTGATTTTAAAAAAATAAAATAAAATACTTTGTCATATCCAGACAAACACCCAGACAATAAAATACTTTGTCTTATTCAGGCCAACACCCAGACAATAAAATACTTTGTTTTATACAGGCCAACACCCAGACAGCCGATACCACTACCTCAACCACCAGCAAAGGCCACCTTTCAGCCAAGTCCTCGTCAGAATATCCCAGAAGATACAAATCCATGGACACTATTCAAATCTGCTGCCACAAAGTCTGATCCTAAACCAACCAGCAACAGAGATCCTTTTGTCCTGTATATTGATTCTGTTCGCTACCTTCCAGACAGCGCAACAATTGTGAAGGTGAGGCAGATGTGAGAGAAAGTGAGCAATGAAAGAAAGTAAGATGAGGGGGTTAGACATATTTGAGGATAAGGATGTGAAGATATAGGTAAGAAATATGTGAGGATAAGAGTTTGAGGATAAGGATGTGAGGATAAGAAAGATAAGGGTAAGAGAGATGTGAGGATTAGGATGTGAGAGTAGGAAAGATGTGAGAGTAGGAAAGATGTGATGGTGGGAAAGACGGAAATATGTGAGGGTAAAATAGATGTGGGGGTAAGAGAGATAAGAAGGTAGGAGAGAGGTGAGGGTAAGAGAGTTGAGAGGTGAGGGTAAGAGATAAGAGGGTAGGAGATAGGAAAGGGTAAGAAAGAGGGGAAGGTAACAGAGATGTGAGGGAGATTAGCTGTGAGGGTAAGGGAGATGAGATGTGAGGGTAAGAGAGATGAGCTGTGAGGGTAAGGAAGATGTAAAGGTGACTCAGATATTGTCAATGTCAGACAATTCTTTTGAAGTTAATGTAGAAGTTGTAAAAATTAGGATTGATTGATTTGATTCAAGAACCGACATCACAGCACTCGTGGCATTCCCATAAGCGCTCCGTCCCCATCTTCAGCAGCCAGCGAACAATTCCGATACTAATCGTGCCAGTAGCATTCTGATTAAACGTCTGTCTTGATTTCCTCTTTCATCTGCCAGAACCTCTCGTCACTCCCAACTGCATTAATCTAACCACACTGTGGTGATCAATCTGCTCCTCCGAACTAAATAGAAGTTATGAATGAATTAGTTGTGATAGTAAGCTATAAGATTTGATTTTGAGGTAGAAAGTGTGAAGGTGAAATATTTTACTAATTCATTATTTTGAATTGTCTTCAATTCACTCAGTGCACCTTTGTATGTGGTAAGTCTGTCTTAGAAGATATCAGAGGTAGAGAAGTCTCAATAATCAAGGTATGAAATTTCTGTTTGAGCAGGTGACAGGCAGAATTTTGAGAGCAGGTGATCTGACAAACTTACAGGACATCCTTGCCGTTCCTGACCTTGACAGCCCAGCAAGGTCACCAGCATTCAACTTCAGCATGCTGGTCAATGAGGGTCGACAAATTGCTGATCCTGAACTGTTGCTGTTTCTCCGTCTCTACACATTTGACATGGAGACACAGAAGGTGGTTGTCATTGGCAGCGCTCTTGTTAGAGTTTTCAACCCTAGCAGGAAGAAAGGAGTAAGTAGACGCAGCATTTTTCTAGAATTATTTATTATTCATTGATTAGTTGCTTGATAGTGAATCCTTTCGATGACTGAGCTTCAATGTTTTAATTTTTCGGTCATAAGCAACATATAATGTGTCATTAGCTGCTCTTCTTTGTGCTCTAAATTAAACATGACAGTATTTGGTACCTTACTTTTTATGTTTGGCCGGTTCATGCTAAAAACGCTGGCTTTTTTTCAGTGGCAACTTAACTGATGAAATCAAACTTCTTCAGGAGCATCTTATTATCTGTTGTTGTTGTTGTTTTTGCTTTTTTAAACAAAACTTTGTTGGTTTGTGGGTGTTGTGTGCTTTCTGAGTTACACAATAATCAGCACACAACCAAGTGTCCACAGGTAAGGGTATTCACTTGACACATTGAGTTACAACACGATGCTGTCAGCTCTGTCATACGATAGGCTTATTCGACAGAACACAAAAGGGTATACACAAGCCCTCACATTGACACAACGGCTTATTCAGAGACGTAGACACTGATCCTAATTGACATTGGCACATAGTCCATACTTTCTCTCTCTCAACTTGTAACTACCTCTCCCTGACCGCTACAGCTCCGAAGGTCTTGCATATCCTCTGAGTGCCTAGTATTCGTGAGGATTACCAGCTGCTTACCCCATCATCTCGTCATGCAGTGTTTAGACTAGATTTAAAAAAACATTTTAAATTCAATAGGAAGAAGATTTATCCTTGAATATAAGCCAAGTAACTTCTGAACCTTAGGTGGGTACCGAAACATTGCTGCCTTGCCACCCATTGAATGTTTGGTTTGTGTTTGTGTATCATATGTAAAATATATGTGTATCACATGTTTGTTTCTGACAGGAAGGTCTTCTGAATGTGGGAGGTCACCAGTTGCGGCTACATTCTGGCATGCCAAACATGAGGGAAGGCTTGAATCAATTAGTGCCTCTGACTTGGACAACAATCCCATCATTCCTGGCTGTTCTTTCCTCATAAGACTCCTCCCTCAGATGCAGGTAATTTGAGGTTGTTTTGTTTCATTTCTTTTTTGGATGAGGGATATTTTTTTAAAGTAACATTTCATTAAGGTTAGGTCTATGATCAGTGTGCCACATGGTCGTTGTGTTTAAACTAAAGCTCAGCAACTTGATTGTTTTTTTCATCAGGACCTGGTACCTGCTCCAGATTACTCCACTGGCTACTATAAATCTGAAGGCTGCAAGCCGACAGCTTCTGAACTGAGACTTTTTGCCAGTTATGCTGCAGATAACATGGCTCGTCCCAAGGTAGAACGGGACGTAATCCTTCGTCTTCAGCAGTATGAGAAACCAACTATGACAAGTATGTTATTAAAATAAGAATTCTTAAAATGAATTAGTTTGAAAATTCATGTTTGATTTTGTAAAAAAAAAACAATTATTTACTTTTTATTTGTGTCTTATTATTTTGATATTTGTCTCATTTTCAGATTATTAATATATGTAGATGGCTTGTTTTGTTTCTATGCTATTTAAGTTTCATTGTTTGTTACTCATCTATGCAGGTGGTACATCTTGTTCCTGTGTTATTTGCAACTTCTTTCATAATAACTCTGCTTGTTTATTTTGTGTGTGAGTCTTTCTCTCTCTCTCTCTCTCTCTCTCTCTCTCTCTCTCTCTCTCTCTCTCTCTCTCTCTCTCTCTCTCTCTCTCTCTCTCTCTCTCTCTCTCTGTCTCATTCTCTTGCTGCTCATCTTGTGCTATTTGTCTAATTTCCTTGTTCCTTCTCTACACAAGTAGATTGTTTTGATCTGTTGTTATTTAGGTCTTATTTTTTTTTTAATTTCTCATCTACACAGGTGGCTCTGATGCCCAGCTGGCTATCTGGCTGATAAATAAACTGGACATAAAAAAACAGCAGGGAGTCAACCAACCTGCCGGAGACCTCCCTCTACACCGGTGTGTCCGCTACAGAATTCAAGTTGGCCTAAATATCCAGATAAAGGCGGCCTTTGGTTTACCAGGTTCATTTTTATGTTTTATTGTGTTCAGTTTAAATATTATACAAATTTAACACCAAGCACTTAACTTTTTTCTTAGGTTTGGACAGAATTAATTTTGGAGCAAATTTGTATTTATTTTTTTACTGCAGCATGACAGCATCCATGGCTTAGGTGTTGCGAGTCTGACTCATAATTCCAACGTACCACGATCAAAACCCTCTGCTGGCTGCATGGATTTTTATCATGGTATGGGGCTTCACAGGTTGACTGAACCTAGAATCGGTACCAAGATGGCTGTTATGAGGAAGAAAAGATGACAGGTCTCTTAAAATATGGGCACTCTTCCCATATACCCGATACGCCTAAATGCATGAAAAGGGATCTTTACTTTACTTACTGCAGCATGACAAAGCTAAAACATTTCTGAAGAAAAAGTACTGGCTGTATAGTGACACATAATATATCAAATTAAAGAGAAACACATACAGAATACATCTTAACAATTTATCGATCAGTGTTGCCAAAACAAACTATTAAAATGACACCACATTCAAGGATATTAGATGTACATGAAGATTTTTGATACAAGTTTTGTGCTTACCTTCCTTTTTTTTAAACTTGATCAACAACCCTGCTATCCATTTCTAAGAATTAACATGCCTTCTCTATTCAGCTATGTATCAGCTGGTCTTTATTTGAAATAAGAATACTTTGGATTTTATGACCATTTATGCGACTTTATTCAGCTGTGGATCAGCTGGTCTTTATTTGAAATAAGAATACTTTGGATTTTATGACCATTTATGCGACTTTATTCAGCTGTGGATCAGCTGGTCTTTATTTGAAATAAGAATACTTTGGATTTTATGACCATTTATGCGACTTTATTCAGCTGTGGATCAGCTGGTCTTTATTTGAAATAAGAATACTTTAGATTTTATGACCATTTATGCGACTTTATTCAGCTGGGGATCAGCTGGTCTTTATTTGAAATAAGAATACTTTAGATTTTATGACCATTTATGCGACTTGTCAAATATCAACTCAACTGAATTCCGGAAACCGCTGGTTGAAACAGGGGCAATCCGATTGAAACATTTTATTCAACTTCATCACACCCATATTGTCAGCAATAGGTGCTACGCTTGCATTATTAATGATCATGTCAAGAATACTGTCACTATCTGGCTCAGATTCATCAATGACAGCAGCAGCATGGACAGTTCTAGATCTAGCTGTGTTTAAATTTTTTTTTTAAATTACACAAATATTGTATCGCACTGATATAATTTTTTTAAAAATCAGAGAATAAAATAGAAACAAGAATTCATTGTATGGGTTCTGAAACCCCATTTTTGGGGGTGGAAAGGGGGAGGGGGAATTCACCTCCTATCCCCTAGAAGGAAACTAATTAGGAGTTTACTGAAATTGGTTGTGATGGCTAGAAGGCGCACAGCCTATCTGTAAACCACAGTATGCCACCCAGCCTTTCAAAGACAAACGCAGAGAAAGGAGAAGAAAAAGAAGAAAAAGAACAGTGTAACATAAATTTATATTTCCTATTTGTTTTTCAGATGGCCTATATATTCAGTGTTTTGCACATGTAGCACCAGGAAAGCAAGCTAAATATAATTCGCCAACATCAGAAGGTTTTGGAAAAGAGGAGAAGTTCATTACTACAAAACTGGCACCTGGCAGTCATCTTACAGCGCCAGTTTGGGAGGATGGACCTAAGGTTTGTGTAAATAAAATCCAGAAACAAAATATGGTATATATTTAATATTAATCATATTACCCTTCAGTTGTGATAAAAACAGGTGTGACTGCAGTCAAGCTTATATCCAGAAATTAATCTACTGAACTGTGGCTAAGAAGCTAAACGAAAGAGGGGGAGGGGGTGAGGGGGGGGGGGGGACCACACACACAGGAACATTTGGACGTTTTGGCATGTCCTTATTGACACACATCCCCTTTATTGACTCACAACCCTTTTCAATGACATACAGACTCCCTTTTTTGTTGTTGTTGTGTGTGTCGATGAAGGTTTCCTCAGAAACATTAACTGGTCCTATGTGTGTTTTGGTTTTTCACTCCCCCCTGTGTTTAGTCACAGTTCATTAAATTAGGTTTTACCAAAAACATAGATAGCTTCACTGGCATGTAAATGGACTCACTTTACTTTATCTCATCTTCTTCTTCTTCTTCGCGTTCACCAGCTGTACACTCTGGCGGAAGGTTCTGGTTGCTCGTCCACTACTGAACTGCAGTCCTGCTCCAGAACCTGAGTGTTGCATGTGCATCAGTTTTACAGATCTCATTGTCTTGAATACAGACTGTTGGTTCCTTGCCTCTCCGGCAGATGCACTCCGACTTCAAAGGAAGCTCCCCAATTAGTCGACTCTTACGACATGCTTTTGGGGAGGCAGTGGGTTTATTCTTGTTTTCCTCACAATGGGGCCCCAGAACCCACACGGGGGACCTTTATGTCATCTTGATCCTCTTGTACCTTACGGTTTTGAGGCAAAGTATAATTTACGGGAAAGTGCCCGTTTGTGTGCTGGGTAAATTGGGATTCCAGGGATGCTGTTGTTCCCTCTGTCCATCATTTGCATGGTCGGCCTCTGCTTCACTTCCCGCCTGGTCTGTACATCGTTGCTTGTGGTGGTATACTGTTTGCTGACATCAACGTTGTATGGCCAAACCATGCTTGTTGTTTTCTAATAAAATTTAGAGCTGCCGCTAACCCTACTGTCCTTCTGATTTGATCATTTCTGATCTTATCTCTTTTTGTTTTCTTAAGAGCCTTTTACAGAAATCTCATTTCAGTTCTTGTAATTCTCTTTTCTCTTCAATCTGTCGTTGTCCAGGTTTGGCATTGATAATACAGCGTTGGCAAGAAAATTATATCAGTTAGTGAGTGCCCTTTGTTTATTATAAAATTTAAAAAAAAGTAAAAGAACCTTTTTATACTTTTCCGCATTGGACATATGCTGTTAGACTCATATTTTTATAGACCAGCCGGCCCTCAGGGGGCCACGTAATCATTATCACACCAGCTGCCTTTACTTCCCAGGGCATTATCCGCTATCCATTTTATGCTGTATCAACCTTGAAGGCATGTATTTATGAGATTAGTAAATTCCTAAAAGGTCACACCAGTTTATGTTTACCTCAACAGAAGATGAATCCATTTTATGACAGCAACAGCTGTCTGATCATCCAACTGTTTGGACTGAAGGTCTTGTACAGACCACAAGCAGATCATAAATCTCCTGGAATGGTCCAGAAACCTGACGGAACCTCACTGGTTATTTCCAAAGATGAACTGATTGGATGGACAGTGGTTCCGCTGTTTGAAGGGTAAGTTGAGGATATGTTGTAACTTATTTATGTGTATGATTTATGATGAATAATCGATGACACTGCACTCAAGACATGCATAAAAGTGCTCAGTCTCTCCCAGTAGAAGTTGAATGATGTGGTTGCTAACTGACTCAGGGGTTAGCTAAACAGCAAATAGGCCGTTATGTTATAACAAACAGTTCCCCAATTATATTCTTGATTGTCTATTCCAGCAGCCAAAACATAGAATATTCATCAAGAGATGTCTCACCAGGCACTGTCTGTAACTTAATGTCTCATCATCAATCGCCAGGTCCTTTACAGAATATGGCTCTCGTCACAGCATGCCTGAAAGTCTCTCTTCCTCTGGCCAACTTTCAGCCCTATGTGCTTTCATAACCAATGCATCTTCAGTGTTTTGTATCCACATTCTCGTGGGTCTGCCTCTGCATTGTTTTCCGGAACTTGTACCCTCCATCACTGTTCTCTCCAGGCCACCATGATGTTTAACATGACCAGTATACCTTAGCTCTCGAGACAGGATGCTGCCCGTGAGCCAGTTCTCCTTGATGACCAGATCATGTAGGATGTTTATGCTTTTAAACTACATAAAAATGTTCTCTTGTTTGATCATTTTCATACAATTTCTAGTTAGCAGGAAAAAGTTGGGGGAAAAAAAAGGGGGTGGGGGTGTTTTAAGTATCTATAAAGTGTGTTTCCATTATCTAGAAAGTGTGCTCACAGGAGATAGCTTGATGAACAAAGAGGTAGAAATAAGAATACATAGAGAGCCGCTCCCCGCCCTCTTTCCCAGCTTAAAAATTCTTTTTTGCCTAAATAAGAGAAGGACAAAGAGAAAAATCACAAGTACACTTAACACGAACTTGGAGGAAAATATCCACATAAATCAGAGTTTCAGGTTATTGTTTTAAAAATTGTATTTTTTTTTTAAATTAATTTTTTTCCTTCAAATTTTAGTCTTCTTTTTCTTCTTTTTGCGTTCACCAGCTGTAAACTCTGGTGGAAAGTTCTGGTTGTTCGTCCACTTCTGAACTGCAGTCCTGTTCCAGAACCTGAGGGTTGAGTGTTCATCCATTTAACAGATCTGACACATTTGTATGCAGACTGTTGATTCCTTGCCTCTTAGGCAAATGCACTCCGACTTCGAAGGAAGCTCCCAATTAGTTCAACTCTTACGACATGCTTTTGGGGAGGCAGTGGGTCTATTCTTGTTTTCCTTACAATAGGGCCCCAGAACCCACACTGGGGAAGAGGGCAATGTTAGTATAACAGATGACTACAAGTACAGATTTTTAATTTCAAAATTGCTTGATGTCAACTGAAAACCTCCCTGACCCCCCCCCCCCCTTTTTTCCCCTTTTCAAACGTCTGTGCATCCCCTCCCCCTGCCACCCACAGGTTGAAAAACACTGCTCTAGAGCTTTCCTCTTGCAGTATTCAGGCTTATGGCAGTAGCATTGTGGTTGCTGATAATTATTCAATGAATATTCTAGAATGTAGAAAAAAACAAGTCCTCTTGAGGCAGAGGAAAACCATAAACTGATTTGAGAAGGTCTGGAGACAAAAAAAAAAAGATAAAATACCTGGATGGCCTGGCCATGGATCGAATGAAACTAGAGACCAACAGATTTTTTTTTTAAACATAAGACAAAAAGACACAACAATCTGACAAAATTCTCTTATTGTTGCCTGTCTGCAGAAACTCTGTGATATCTGGTACCCATACTGTCCCAGTTTTAACTTGCCCGCTAAATGAGGAAATGATGGATGCACTGTCTGAGAAAACTGCCTGGCAAGCTCTGAACCAAACAATATGGAATAACTACAACAAAATTGTAAGTTTGTTTTCTTTTTTTTTGGGTGCAATGCTGGCTTTTGTGATTGACCGCTTGCACTGACAGTGAGCTGCCATTCTGGTATAGGACCATTATTGTTGGCACATCTGACAACTGTTTTATGCATTTTTACCTTTGCTTGTGCGAGCTTTCAGATGGAACAGTGAAGGACATTATGTGTCATTTCCACCGGCACAGGCCTGGTGCAGTTATAAGGCAATCTATTTGAGGTGAAGTTGGAACTTCGACTAATGACTAATAACTGATGACTTCTTCTTAACAGGTAGTTAGGTGGGTAGTTTTACCCCACCAGGACACACAAGCGATAAACACCTGGTGACACAAAGTGCCACCATGCAGATGAGGATCACCCATGGAGAGGTCCCAGTAATCCATTTCAGCCCTTAGGCCATATCTATGGCTAGGTCATATTTATGGCCCTGTTAAATTCAGGGCACCTGACAAAAGTCTCGGCGGGGCTTAAAAAAAACCAAAAAACACTGCATCCCACGAGGGGACAACACAGCTGTAATATTCTCCTCAACAGCTAGTTTTCTCTTCCTTATCCTGAAGCTTACGTTGTCTAAACTGAAGTTCAGACTTTATTATTCCCTTACATTTAATTCAACAATGTTAATGCTTTTATCCACTGAATTAATTAAATAATGGGCAAGGGTTGTATCGAGTCCCAGGGGGTTTAGCATCACAGGCCCAAGGGGTAGTCAAGAGAGACATAAAATTGGTGCATCTTGCGTTCATTGGGCCTCTAGGTAGGAACTATGAATGCATGATGCCTTTCTTGGGACTCAAAGAGTTAAACCTCTAAATTGGTATGCCAGCATTTGACAAGTTGGTACAATTTTATTCAATCATATTAAAGCTAACAGTAAAAATGCTGGTATTCACCATCAGAGCCATCATCTTCTTCTTCTTTTGTCAAAATCTGCTTGTGCCGCTAGGCGCCGCAGTCTATCAGATGATCAGCAACCGAGCCAGGGCGCGCTCAGTTCGCTTCATATGCCGTGACGTTATGAAGTCTCAAGTTGTCTGTGACTCCTTCAATCCATCTTCTTCTTGGTCTTCCCCTGCTTCTTGGTGTTTCGATTTTCATGTTGTATGCTCTTGATGCTGGCATCGTTGGTTCCATTCTTATTAGGTGACCAAACCATTTCATTCTTTGCTTCTCAATAAATTTAACGATGGGTATGGTTCCAATAGTTCTTGTAATCACATCGTTTCTCCATCTATCTCTTCTGGTTTTATTCGCAGCCATTCTCAAACATCTCATTTCACAGGTGATTAGTCTTCTCTCGTGTTGTTTTGTTAATGTCCAAGTCTGACATTGATAACCTAATGTCGGTATAAAGATTGTATTTATAATTTGTCTTTTTATCTCAGCTGGGACAGGGTGTTTTGAAATTGGGGCAAGCCGGTATGCGACATTGTTGGCTTGTTGGATTCTTGCTTCGATCTCTCTGTCTATTTTACCATTGAATGTAAAGATACTTCCCAAGTATTTAAATTCTTGCACTTGTTTTAGGCTGTGATCTAGAATCTTTATGTCGATGGTCTGTTGAGAGCCATCATCTTTAGTCAGCAAGTTCTATACAGAACATCTCCCTCGTCACAGTATGCCTAGAAGTCTCTCTTTCTCTGAGCACTTCTGAAGCTCTGTGTCCTTTCATAGCCAAAGCATCTTCAATGTCTTGTATCCACCTTCATGGAAATCTGTCTATGACTCAATGTCTCGAAACTGTACCCTCCATCACATTCTCTCCAGGCCCCACAGCTTTTATCATGGCCACAAAAGCTCAGCTTTCGGAACAAGATGCTGTTTATGAGCCATACATGCCAAACATATTCCATCGTTTCATGAAGTTGAATCTAGACTAATGTCTTGACAACAAAGTACATCTACCAACTATGACAGATTTTAGTTAGAATTGTAGCTCTTAATTTAAGTATGCAGTGAAAAGGTACTCCCATTGAAGAATATGGCTGTAGGAGTGTGACATTTAAGGTTTTTATGTATACTTGGTTAATGGCATCTGCCAGTCCCTGGGGACTATTGGAGATGTGCAGCTGGCTTTGGAAACAGCATCTGCTGTGACTGTGAAGTCTGATGCTGGAGTGGTAGTCTCTGCCACATAGGCTCCACTAAAAATAGAACTGCCCTCCCTATGAGGCTGATTTACTCTCTGGTGTCTCCTTTCTATAGCTCACTGTGTTTAGTTTTTCTCTCAAAATACGACAATCCATCTTTCACATTCTGTCGCCATAGTAATCGATCTGCAGCAGATTTTTTCCAAGTCTCTGTGCCTATGTTGGTATCTATCAGGTCACGTTTGCAGATATCTTTATAGCATAGCTTTGGACTTCCTGTGAGTCTGTTCCCTGTTTCCAGTTCACCATGCAGGAGGTCTTTTGGAATACGACCATCTTCCATGTGGGAGACATACCCCAGCCAAGGCAGAAATCTTTGCTTCAGTAGACAGTACACTGATGGTATTTTTGCTCTTGTGAGTACACATTCATTGGAGAAAAGGTCTCGCCATGATATACCAAGGATGCGCCTCATACAGCACATGTAGAAGGTATTAACCTTTCTTAAGGAGCACATAGAGTCCAGGATTCGCTACCGTACAGTAGCGTGCTCAAGTCACAAGATTAATTTTTCTTTTGACCAGACTCTCTTAGTGAGATTTGAAAACACTATAGAGGTCTTTCCTATATGTCTACTTATCTCTGCATCTAGGAAATGATTGCAAGATTCATGAGCCTAAGTACTCAAACTCATGTACAGCCAACAGCTGATGGTCATAAACACTAATGTTTGGTGGGTTTTCAAAATTCATTCCCATAACTTGTGTTTTGTTTAGACAGATGGTAAGCCAAATTCTTTGCATGTGTTTGCTAAGCCATTCATAAAGATCAGCAGATCATCCTCTGTATGTGCCACAGTGGCTGCTTCATCTGCCCAAAAAAAAATCCCTGAGGCATCTTGTATGCACCTTCGTCCTTGCACGTATCTTAGACAAATTAAAAAGATTTACATAATATATTACTAACTTAGCCTGTTGGTTTTTGTTTTTTACCATGCCCTTTTCTTGTTTCTGGATAAATAGCAGAAAATTCTAAAATTGATTTCAACAGTGAAGAGTATAATTCCTTACACTCACAGGTCAACACAACTCTTGCGTAGCCATCATGGGTACCTCAATTATGAGAGATTGAACAGGGTATCTGGGATTTGGCCTAAAGTCTGCCATTGAGAATGAGATTCTTGTAGTCTCCTGGTCTATAACATGTAGTGCTTGGTCTTAGTCAAGGTTTCAACATCACTGCAATAAGGTTTTTCCATACTTGCTCCATTCCTGTGTCAGTGCAAATCAAATGAAATATCCCTCAGTGTCACATAAGAAAAACTGGTAAACAAACAACTAGTCCTGGAACAATCCAGAAATTAGCACAAACAGCAAATACAGATTTCAGTTGCTAGAGGCTTCAAAGCTAACAGTCATGACCACCAGAAATGCAGTCCGTCGTCTATGGAAGTAGTCAGGCACGACAAGTTGGCCATACACACAAAGAATTACTTCATAATGTATTCCACCAGCTCACACATAAACCGGCTACAAACCATATTGAACACCATGAGACAACAACTGCACAAATGAAAGGCATTCCACAGGAAAAACACAGCTTGCATTGCTGCACCAAGCACTTTACTTAGTAGCTCAGGTACTTAGACTACCGTCCTAATGTGCAAAGTGCTGTCGGAGGCAAAAACAACTCCAAAGCGTAACATTCTGCCATGCCTCCACTACTTAAGGTCGGAAATGTAGTACTAGCAGCAGATACTAAATAGACCTCATTAGAACAGGTCCATTACTTAGCATGGCCAGACTAAAAATGTACAGATCTTGACTGAGAAAACTGTACTTGTGTGTTAAATCATCTCTGATTTGACAGTCTCCAAATGACTTCCCTTCCCTTCTCCTTTTCCGCTTCAGCCTGGGGCAAGTATTGAGGTCAGGGTCTGGGACGCTCATTTTGACTTCCATGAACTGCCAAAAGTCGAGGTATGTTGTCCAGTATATGTGAAGTATTTTTAAAAATGTAATGCCATATGTAGAAACGTTTTTGAGAAAAAGTAATGACACAATTTCTACTATTTCTGATATTTATCCATTACTGGAGCACAGGTTATCATCAGTCCTTCTGAAATGGCAGGCACAGCAGATGACATGGACCAGTGTTGCTCAAGCAACAGTTCGCAGCTGTAATGATTGTGTTGCATTAAAATGGACCCTTTTCTATGTTTCAGGCATACTGAGTGTATAGGGCTAGACCTATATTTTGTAGACCAATTGGCACTAGATGGGTGATGTTGTCAGCATCATGTCGGCCACCTTTACTTCCCATGACTGTACCTGGTACCCCTTTGAGGCTGGGTCAACCTGGAAGCGAAGGTCATCTTTTTTTAAAAGAAAAAAGTCCAGCTTCATCAGGATGTGAACCCATGACCTTTGGAGCATCTAACCACTACACCAAGGTGGCTCCCAATTGTGTGGATACTTTTTAGTGTTCACCAGGTTCAATTCTGGTGGAAAGTTCTAGTTGTTTGTCCACTCCTGGTCTTTGGCCTTAATCCAGTACTTGAGTTTTGTGTATGCACATCCGCTTTAAATATCTTGCTTATTTGTATGCAGATTATTACTTCCTTGCCTCTCAAGAAGATGCACTCTGACTTCGAAGGAAGCCTCCAATTAGTCGACTCTTACGATATGTTTTGGGGATAGCAGTGGGTCTATTCTTGTTTCGCTGCACTGGGACCCCAGAACCCACACGGGGAACAAGTGATGATGACCGAACCTATCATCTGATAGTTCTTGTTGAACACAAAATGGGTTGACTTCAAGAGGGTTGAAGATATCAGAGAAATGTCTGGGCAAGCACTAGTTTCAACAGATATAAGACAGAGAAGATGGCTCTGTATTGGACATTCTGAGAAGAGACTAACAGAGAACCACCAAACAGGCACTGAAATAGGAAACAGAGGCATTGAGGAAACTAAGATGTCCAAGAGAAATCCTATAGAAAACATTTATGAGAGAAGCCAAAGCTGCTGGACTGGATTCAGTCCATGAAACTGAACTGGTTGCACACAACAGATTGCAGTGGAGAAATAGACTGTGAGCCCAATGTGACAAATAATGGCAAAAGAGGACAACAAACAAATGAATGAATGAAAAATAATGGCAAAAGAGGACAATGAATGAATGAATGAATGAATGAATGAATGAATGAATGAATGAATGAATGAATGAATGAATGAATGAATGAATGAATGACAAATAATGGCAAAAGAGGACAACAAACAAATGAATGAATGAATGAATGACAAATAATGGTAAAAGAGGACAACAAATAAATGAATGAATAAATGACAAATAATGGCAAAAGAGGACAACAAACAAATGAATGAATGAATGAATGAATGACAAATAATGGCAAAAGAGGAAAACAAATGAATGAATGAATGAATGAATGAATGAATGAATGAATGAATGTTCATGTCAGTTTTGAAACAGAATGATCTTGGGCAGGGAATTTGAGCAGTATTTGTTCTGGGTTCTGGTCATTCTTGTCTAATATAAATCCCAGCGTGCGCAATGTTAATAAGCTATCATGTTTTATCATTTCGCACAATCACTAGAATCTTGGATCAAGTCAGTGTTCTTGTCTCACCACCTTTCCTAAGGCTAAGCCGTCCAGGTATTTGTCTCTCAGTCTTCTCCTTGCAGTCTTTCCAACAGTCATTACCAAGGTGAAAGATTACACACACACGCGCACGCAGCCCACCCATATATATTTAATTAATTAAAGAGTCAAGAGAAGAATGTTGCAAATACCTTGGACAGCCAGATTAACTAACAATGATTGCCTGGAAATGGCAAATGAAAGTAAAACTTTATCTACAACAATGAGGAGACAAAAAAGTTCTTTGGTCATGTGATGAGAAAAGGAGAACTGGAAAATATCGTGACGACTGGAAAGGTCACTGGTAGCAGAGGCAGACCAAGAGAAATGATGGTGGATGGCTTAAGACAGCAACATGGAGGAATAGCATCAGTGGAACTGATCCAGAACACCAAAGACTGAGATATGTGGAGATGTGTGAACGCCTAAGCCAGCTGGCAAGGAACTTGGTGATTATGAGCCATGAAGATTTATTTAAAAAAATGAAGTTGAAGTAGATGGAGTCTTACAAATGTACTAATTTACTTTTATTTTGTCCAGGATCATCAGGGTCTGCTGGAAGTGGTTGGGGGCAAGGAGCAGTATCTGGAGACAGCCAGAGCACCTCCCAGCAGCATCACCCAGCAAGAGTTTCTGCTGGGCATGTTGGAGGAAAAGGTTCAAAGACAAGGATTGAATGGAAGTACCTTTAAGAAGGAGTTTGTGTTCTTCCATGAGGAAATGGCCAAGATATTTACTGCCTTGATGGTCAGTTGTTAGTCTTAGAGTTGACTTCAGATGGATTGGCTAGTTCTGCACCACTTAGTGGTGAACTGATGCAGTCTTAGAGTTGACTTCAGATGGATTGGCTAGTTCTGCACCACTTAGTGGTGAACTGATGCATGGCAAGCTGAATGTTGTAAGGGCCCTTGGGAAGGTGGGGGGCAAGTAAACAGTACTGACACATAAATAGACTGACATGGCCTGAAGAGAATAGTGCAGCCAGGAGAGACCCGGGTATCTGGCCAACATTCTAACACTCAAGGAAGGGGCGAAACAGACATACAGTCAGACTTTTACTGGTAACACTGGAATTGGAGATATGCATTTGTTGCTGAAGATGTGGTCGCAGCACTTATGGGAATGTCCTGAGTGATGTACTGTTGGTTCTTAACTCGTAAATGATAACTGAGAAGTATACTTGTGTGTTTACGGTTCTGTAAGACTGAAGTAGCACTGATATGTAGCATCAGTCTCTGACTCTTCTTCTGTGTTCATCCTTCAGTGTTGTGTTGTGGTTTACAGCAAGGCTGCAAAATCTGTGCCTTTAAAAAAAAATTAATACATTACACCCAATTTCAGCAAGTTTTCAGCTAGAGGCCTTTTATGTCACGCTTATTATGGAAGCAGTGGGTCTGTCCTTCCTTCCCCAACTCTCCCCCAATGAGGCCTTTGAATCCACATCGGGATGTCTTAAACTAAAAAAATACTGTATTTTTCTGTGTATAAGACGATACATTTTTCACAGTTTGAGGTTTAAAATTGGGGCTCGTTTTATTAATGGAATGTGTTTAAAATATTTATTTTGTAATTTGGTTCTAAAAAAAATAAGGGTAGTCTGATAGATGGGATTGTCTTATATATGGGGAAATAGGGTAAGTTGTTTTTAAAGACATGGAAATCATGCAGTGACTGGTACTATTGGCATGCCGACCCTACGTTGGCTACGGAGAAAAGAGATGGAGCATGTGTGTAAATGTCTAGAGTGCAATGATGTCAATTCTTGATTCGTTCAGAAAAGGAAAAATGTATAAAAACAACTGATTAACCAACCAATAAGGAAAAAAAAACCTATGCAACCAATCGGCCAACCAGGCAATCAAATAACCAGACAACTAAGCAACCAATTAACTAGCTAACCAACTACCAGAGTAACCAATCAAACAACTCACCCTAATACTTACTACCTGTGTTTTACCAATTATTTTTCAGTGTAGGACAAGGTGAACAAAACTGTGAGAAACATAGAAATTACCAAAACTATTGAAACAACAACCGAAATTAATTTCAGTTAAAAACAAAGACTACAATGGTTTGGTCATTTAATGAGAATAAATCTAATGATGCCAGCAACGAGAGTGTAGAAACACCAAGAGGTAGGGGACAATCAAGAAAAATATAGATTGCAGGAGTCAGATACTTTGAGTCTGCACAGTATACTGGGCAAGAGAGCGTGCTCTAGCTTGGATTTCTTTCATCTGTTAACTTTCAATGTCTAGCGGCACAAAGCAGAACATGGACAAAAGTAAGAAAAAAAGTAGGACAAGGGCGTCTGACCTGAGGATTTAGGCTCATTTGGCTAGTGCAGTTGCCACAGACTGTGCAGATTTTTATTTCATTTTATGCCCCTGAAGGAAAAAGGTCCATCACCTTTACGAGGACTCAGGCCTGTGTCTCCCGCATGAGAGTGCACTTGATTGTTCAGCCAGCCATTCTTCAAACTTGCCTAACCAAATATGGCCTAACACAGAGAAATATGGACCTGTGTAATCGCATCACAGAGAAGGTTCTGGTTGCTCATTCTGTAGTCCTGCTCCAGAAGAGCGTGTGCATCAGTTTTACAGATCTCATTTCTTGAATACAACTCTGTGTACTCCGACTTCAAAGGAAGCTCCCCAATAGTCGACTCTTATACATGAAGAGAACTAGCCAGACACATATTTTATTCCAGGCTGACTACTGCCTCAAGAATGGATTTGCCCCAGTAGGATCTGGAACAGTACCTGCTAAAGATGACATCTCTGTGTGACCTACAGGTGGCATTTCCTTGTCATGTGTTAATTGGGGACAAGCAGTCTAGAGGACTCCAGTGGCTGACAGAACCAACGAACAAATGAACTTTATTTTCAAAGGGTTACAAATAAAACATTAGCCATGCTGATGACATTTAAGAATCTAGAAAACCTTTGTGGTAGATTATTGCATTTCTTCTTCTTCTCCCGCCCTAAATTCCTGTTTGAAGCATCTTCCTTCAAACAGTTTACATCCAGTTACTTACTTTTGCCAGCTTGTCTATAATTGTTCCTCTTCTTTTACTGATTACTGATTTCAGAATCAACATCATAGCAAACCGGGTATACCCATAGATGCTCCGTTTAACACAGCAAATGTCTTAAAGTATAGATGCTAACTGTTCCCGTAGCACTCTGATTATAGACGTTGTTCTCTTTCTCTCTTACAACCCTTCTTGCCTGGTCCAATTTTTGTCTTTTACATTTGTCCTTAAAGGGTATTACATAGTGTTGTGGCTTACAGCTAGGCTGTGACATTAGTACCTTTCGGTCCAATGCATCTCATTTTAGCAAACCCTTAATGAGCAGCCTTTCGCGATACACAAAAGAGCAGTGTAAAGGATCAAATTGGTGTAAAGGAGCAAATTATTGTAAAGGGGAAAATTGGTGTAAAGGAGCAAATTATTGTAAAGGAGAAAATTATAGTATAAAAGAACAAATTGTTGTAAAGTTGCAGTGTAATGGAGCAAAGTGTTGTGAAGGAGCAAATTGTTGTAAAGGCGCATTGTAAATGAGCAAATTGTTGTAAAGAAGCAGTGTCAAGGAGCAAATTTGTTGTAAAGGTGCATTGTAAAGAAGCAAACTGTTGTGCAGGAGCATTGTAAATGAGCAAACTGTTGTAAAGAAGCAGTGTACTTTTACTTAGTTGCTCCTCTTCTGTAGAGGTTTGCCAGACTTCTCAGCATTTTTGGGGAGCAGTGTAAAGGAGCTAAAGTGTTGTAAAGGAAAACTGTTGTAATGAATGAAAGTGTTGCAAAGGAGGAAAGTGTTGTAAAGGGGCAAATTGTAAAAAATCTATAAGTGTGTGGTAATGGAGCAGTGAGTCTATTCCAACACCTCTCTCCCCCTCCCAGTGGAGACCAGGAACACACCTGGAAAATGTAATTCTTCTCCATATGTGTTTGTGTTTCTGTGTGTGTTTGTGGGGGGGGGGGGGTGTCCTCCTTTGTTTCTGTTACCCTCAGGTTTTCTCAATGTGTGCCACTGACATTCTTTCTACAGTTACAACTTGCATCTAACAGAAAACACAGATTTTTTAACTCACTGTTAACTGTATTTAAAAAATAATTATGACAAAGTTTCAAGCTGTCTTAATTTTATACTTTCTTATATCCGTGTCAATGACAAAAATGAGCTGATTAAAAACACCACTTTCACTGCATTATGTGATTATGAAACAATATTCATCAAAGCTTATATTTTCCAAACATGTTCATCAAAGATTGCCTTTTGCAAGCATTATAGAAACATACAAATAATAAATATAATGTCTGCTGTATGCTCCAAACACACACTAAAAACCAGAAATAAATTAAAAAATACAGGAACAGACTGTGAGATCCAAAAAAAAACAGACAGCAATGAAAACTAGTGAAGCAAGTCAGTCGTGTCACGGATATCAAATGAAGGACGTCACAGATGACAGAAGATAAATGTCACCTTAACCAGGTCAATCCTAGAGAGCTTAATGCACAGCATTGCCTAACTTTTGATAACTTGTCTAACCAGTTGCCAGTTTAGGCAACTATTTCTAGGCAACCCTGCTAGAATCAAGCCAAGATGGCTGACATTCAATGCTAGACAGGAGAGAGGATGGTGAGCGTCTGTGCTACATAGCTCTGAAACCTGAAGTACAACTAAAAGAGTCTGATTATAAACCTTTGACGTCTTCCCACACATTTTGGACCAATCAAAGATGCAAACAGTGGAGAAAGGAGAGAGAAGCAATAATGGAATTCATAACTACTGGCATCAAAAAAGATAATAGACTGCAATTGTTGGGGCATATGGAGACAATGGCAGAGAAACAAAAACTGTGTCACAAGTGTTGAACTGTACCAGATAATGAAGCAGATCAAGAAGACTGTGGAGAGATCATGTAAACTAAGACTTACACATACTTGGAGTCACCAATTGGAAAGAGAAGGCTAATCAGAGAGATGAATGGAGGAGGGTGATATCTGCAGCAATTATCTTCAAGGACTTGGAATGCTGAAGCAGAAGAAGATTTATGGGGAATTTAACCAGTGTATTTAGGAATATAACCAAGGAGAAAACATGATTAGGGGGAGCCCCACTCTGATGTCACAGCCCCACTCTGATGTCCTAGCACCACTCTGATGTCACAGCCCCACTCTGATGTCACAGACCCACTCTGATGTCCTAGCCCCACTCTGATGTCACAGCCCCACTCTGATGTCCTAGCCCCACTCTGATGTCACAGCCCCACTCTGATGCCCTAGCCCCACTCTGATGTCACAGCCCCACTTTGATGTCACAGCCCAAGAAAAAGTCATCCTTAGCTAGGAAAAAGCCATCCATATCTAGGAAGAAGACATCCTTATCTAGGAAAAATCATCCTTATCCAAAAGAAAAGTCATCCTTATCTGTAAGTCTCTGTGAAAACACTCTTAACACAGTGACTCATCACTAAATAAAAAAGACACCCCCCCCCCCCCAAAAAAAAAAAAATTGCCAGTTTGGCTAACAACTGAGTTAGAATCTGGAACTCACAGCCATGTTAGAATTATATGTGATCATTTGAACTGACTGCACACTTTCATATACACTGAAGCTAATTTCAGAGCAAGCCTTGGCAGTGCATGTGTTGCTAGGCACAGTAGTTGGACTAGACATTTCATTCTGATAAATTGTAACATAGTCAACAAGCAACAAGAATAATACCACTGTTAATATGTGAGTAATATATGTTAGTAATGAAGCTTCACTGGGAAATAACGTAACTGTTAAACTTATGTATATTGTATATTCTTCTTCTGCATTTGCGTCAATGGCGGTTGATGCAATTGTTCTGTGCTTTACAGCTAGGCCATGACTTTTGCGCCTTTTAGCCCAACACATCCAATGACTCACTGTTTACAACATGCTTGTTCAGGGGTATTGGGTCTATTTTTTTTCTTCCTTCCCAAACTGAAGCCCTGCGAGCCACCACGGCGTAGTGGCTAGACACTCATGATCCGAAGGTCGTGGGTTAAAATACCCATGGTTTTGTTTTCCCAACCATTACCTTGACTCCCAGGTCAACCCAACCCAGGCTTAAATGTGTACCAGATAAAGTCTGGGGAAGTCAAGGTGGCCAGCATGATGCTGACCACACCGAGTGCTGACTAGTCCAAAAAATATAGATCTAGAACCCTGATACTCCAATATATGACGTGGAACAGGATCCTTTACTTTATAATGGGACCCCAGAACACACATGGGGAAGTATGACATAAGGCATAAGCTGCAGTGGTTCAGTGGCTTGACACTCGTCTGCAGGTCTAAAAGTCCTAGGGTTAAATTTTTTTTTTTTAAATAAATGACCTTGGTTGGTTTCCCTGTCTAGCTACCAGGCAATGTCTTGGGAAGTAAAGGTGTCCCGCTGGTGTTGACCACATCAGCCATTGACTGCTGACTGGTCTATATACAATTTGAACCCAGCATCATATGCTCTGCGTGCCAACAACATGATAAGCATCCTTTAGTTACAATATTTCAGAAAGAAAGGCAAACTACTGAATGTAAAATTTGCCTAGCGGGGTTGGTTTGCAATATCCTATAAAGGATATGCAACTAACTTTAACTTACAATATGTACAAAATGGTTCTACAATGTCTTCAGTAATGATTTTCCAGATTTTAAACATGTTATTATAAAAGAAGTATTTCATAGATATATATGTGTAAATGTCGGCATCTGTGACTTAGGCATTGCGAACGGGCTTCATAATGCCGGGGTGCTGGGTTCAATCCCTGCTGCGGACGATTTGTCTTGCACTGGTTTTGACAGTGGTACCGAAAGCTGACCATTCAGCAGAAATGGCAAACTACTGAATATAAAATTTGCGTAGAAAAACCCACACCAGCCAATAAATGCAGGGGCTGGTCCTGCTGCAGCGTGTAAAGGATACCCAACAAACTTTATGTGTGTGAATAAGTCTTGTCCATGTCTTTAGGTGTACTGGACATTTAGGGGATCTACATTTTATGCACCTATTGGCACTTGGTAGGTAATGTTGGGCGGTCAACATCATTCTGGCTGTCTTTACTTCCCAGGACTGTACCATTTAAAGCTAGGTCAACCTGGGAGCCAGGATCATTTAACTCTTCAAGTCCCAGGGGGTTTAGCATCACAGGCCCAGGGGGTAGTAAAGAAAGTAATAAAATCAGCGCATCATGCGTTCATTGGGCTTCTAAGTAGGAAGCTATGAACGTATGATGCGTTCCTTGGGACTCAAAGAGTTAACACACACACAAATTCAGGACCTGAACCCATGACTTTCAGATCTGCAGATGAGCATCTAACCGCTGCACTACGGCAGCTCCCATATACACATGTGCCAACTTAAAATGTTCAGAACAGTTTAAAGTTTCGTGTGACCTTGTGTGACCGTGAGGCTTAAAACGGCGCTAAGAAAATAGCAAAATCCAGCATTTTAAAGAGAAGATGGCTTTTTTTTTTTAGTATCCAGAAGCCATGAGTTGTTAACCCTTAGGCTCGGTATTATGGATATCGCAACCCTTCGGCCTTGATTCCATGATAAATACCATAAATCTGGGAGAAATGTGGCTTTTCTGCCTACCCGGACCACAAGGAGTTCGTCACCCGGTCGCCGCGCAATCCGGTTTAGCCAACTACGCTAGCGGGCCGGGCGAGTTGCAACTGTAACTCTGAACACAATTAAGACAACATCACAGGAGACTATGAGTACCATCTAGACATCACCAGAGCTTCA